ACTGCGGTGTTGGAGGTTGGACCACCGTCAGACGAGCACACTTTGAGTGGTCCACAAGATCATACAACCAGCATGCATAGTACCCGGTATCGTTCACGTTCACGTTAGTGATGCTGTAGCCCGCTGTGTTATCGTTCTCATTAAATGTCGCAGAGAATCGCGATGTATCAGTTGATGGGATCAGTGACGTTGTACGACAAGAGGCCAACGTGGCAAATAAATTGCTAGCACAGCTGGTTTTGGATTGAACCCATTGCACGTTGCTACACTCTTGCTTGTTTGCCGGCAGGCATTGAAACGACACATTGCTGCCTATTTCCACAACGGTGTCCATTGGCTCCATCTCAAACAATGGATTGGTTGATTGTGCTTCATGAAGACGGCAATGCAGTGCCAGGAGGTACAAAAGTATCACTACAATTGCCATGTTTCTCTTAAGTCTTCTGTAAATTTATTTAATGTCAAAGATCACAAATTTAATTGCAATAGTGGTACAGCTACATGTACATGTTAATTCAAACAGGAAGTGTGTGCAGTACTCAGCATTGGCTCTGTAAATCAACAAATGACATGTATATTTTCTATCAGTTTCCTGCAGTGGTCAGGATTTTTGCAATGACACAATTTCCGGTGCTCATGCAGATCGTGAGACCGCCAAGGTTTTAACCAAGTATGTACACAGTTGCCTTCCCAAATACATTTAGGATCGATTTGTCCCTTGACCAGTTTGAAGTTTGAACCAGGTATGGTCATGTCCTCAAGAAACAGTTTACATGTACATTTTGTGACTTGTTGATGTACATGTGTACATGAGCCTTAAAGGGAAAATACAACATTTGCAAACATCAAAAAATAAAACTACCAAATCATTTTCAAATACCTTGCTAGACTGTTAGTGAATGACAGTGTAAAGCATCCTGTAAAATCATGGTGCCTGGTATACTGTCATTTTCAAGAAAAGTGGTATTTTTGTATCAATTTCCAACGCTGATCGGCCGACCAGCGTTGGAAAAAACTGGCTTTTTTTCAAATATTGGCCCCAGTTGACCATCGCACTTATTTGCAATCGATTACACACCTATGAACGGGTAAAAGCCAGCTAGACTGGTTCCCTGACCTTACAATTCCCCAATGTGTGTAAACTGCTCTGTTTCTTCTTAAATGGAGTCAGGGAACCAGACTACAGGAAAATGATTGTTTTTTCTTGGTTTTTATAGCATTTTCGAACCCAAAACCTCAAAAAAGTCAGTGTAACTATATTTGCTATATATTTCCAACCCCCCCAATTCCATCCATTTCTGCAAATTACAGCGAAAGCAAATGATGTATATATTCCCTTTAACTTGAACCCTTCTGTCCTCATAATCAAATTCATGTACTTTGTTGCTAGATTATGTTGGATACAACAGAATTGTGGGTGAAACGCCGGCCTCATGTTTTCTGTGACCAAACTTGACTGGTTGCTTTCATTTCAGTTTTCACAAATGTTTGTGATCATTACGTATGGATTCGCAATTTCGAGTGCTGACTTTGGAGGCCAAAACTCATCTCTCTGTTCTTGTGAACATTCATCGTTACTGTATAACATTTGCTTCTCGTTGTTGCCATTCCTAAAGAGGGATACAGAGTTTCTTGTGTTCATACTTGACTTCGACTGTTTGTGCAAACTTTTTTCTTCAGATTGCACATTTACAAAATGTAGGAAATGGTCTTGCTAAAAATACAAACCCTGTAGTACAGCAGTTCTTTTTTACTTGATTTTTAAAGCCCTTTTTACATGTACAATTGTACATGCACGCTAGTAAGGTAAAAAAAAAACCCATCAAATTGAAGGGAAGGGACTATTAACATAGGCCTGAGACGTAATGACGTCACAGTTTGTTTACATGTGTGCTTTCCTATGTATACGGTCCCCACTTTATCTGGTACATGTATCCCGACTTCGCTCCCATATGTAGGAAAGTGCATGTAAACAAAGCCATTACGTCATTACGTCTCGGATGTATTGACTCCTGTATAAGGCTACATTTGTACATGTACATGTATGCCTCCAACTACTAAGCGAGAGGAATACACAAAGATTGAAATCAAATAAAAGTCAGCTCATCGGATAGAATTTCTCCACTGGACAGATGTTGGACCGAGTCGATCCAACTGACCTAACATTACGAATGGCCATTCTCATTTTTTTCTTTCCACCCGGCTGATAATTATTTGACATCAAATGCCTCGTAAACCTCCCAAAGTCCATTTTGAATAGAAAACTGCATCGAGGTCAGGTCTTGGACCGAGTCCAGCTATTCAAGTGCAAGTCCAAGGTTTTTTTATGACTGAACAGAACAAGTTTACTAATGGGCATTTGCACCACTGCAGATGGGGACTTATTTACTCAGACCTCTAAATATGCTCAGACAAATTGACCTACATGTGGCACAATCAATTTTGAGTTGTCATCTATCTATGCAGAGTTTCATCTGTCATCTATCTATGCAGAGCTCATTTTCCTATGTTAATCTCTCAGTCTGACTAGTTTGTAAGCCTACAGATAGGGCAAAATAGAAGGTAGTTCTGCTACCCTATTCTAACATCCCCTTCCCTAATTTTGTTATTGAAAAAATGATTTTAAAAAACACCCAAAACCATCAATTTCTACCTTTTACCCTTGATTTCCGTACACGCAGACGCCTCCATATGATCGTACACACAAAAAATTGGCAAAAAAACACATTCCCTACTACCTTATTTTCAAATTCCATGTACATGTAGGCCTTATCAATTTGAAAGCAGAAATATACAATGTATTCTTTGGCCTAGTCCAAGCTGAAAGTTGTTTTTGCAAGGCTACATGTGTACTTTTCCTGTGCTTGATTGACACAATATACCAGCCCCTCTTATTAGTGTTTACCACTGTTACATGCACTATTACATGCACTAGCACTTGCATTTTTTCCCCTCACGGCATGTCTTTGTACTCGCTGACAAGCCAACAAAACATATTACTAGGTCAACCATGACTACCATGAATTTCACTGTCAGCACACAAAGAATGGAAGTATTTTTATATTTTTGACTTCTTAGCATATTTTGTGGCCATACAGTTTGGAAGTACATGTAGGTTAGTTTAGTTGAGCTGTTGACAGTCCACCGTACCACATGCAGTGTACGTTGTACATCTAGGCCTGCTACATAAGGGTTGTTTATTTTTCCAATATGAGCAGAAAACGTGTCTTTCTACAAATGTAAATTCAACTTACGGAACAAAAGGTAGGTGAACTAGGTGTACATGTATATTAGAAAGAGTTTGAAGGTGTACATTTGTGGGACAAGTTGTCCTGTGTATCGTGGTATTTCATTGGTTGAAGCCGTTCACGTTAAGCACCGTCGATATCAGAATTGTTAATAATCGATATATGGGTAATCTAATATTGAGAATATATATCGATTATCCCATGTTTAAAGCTGACATCCACAAAGAGTTGACACTTTGATTAAAAAAAAAATGTTAAATCCCAATTTTCCAAGGCTTTCTTTTTTTGAGCAAATTGCTCAAACTTTTTAAAACAAATCTGAGCACTGAGTTTGTCCAGAACAGACTGGATCTTTTGAGGTTATGTAGTGGGGAGACCGCAACTTCCAGCAAAAATGCAGAGCACAAAGCGACGCTGCTTGGCATTTCACAATGTTTTTATTTCGAGTCACAAGCACAAGTTGCCGCCAAGTTTTATTTCATTATACAGCAAACGTTAAACACAAAGTAAACCACAAAACGGGAGATTTATTTTGACGATAATCTGACGCATTTTTCGATATAATTCCTCAATATCCAAAATTTTGATATTTCATATTTAAATTGCTATCAGCGCTATCGATATCAAAATAATTTCGAATAATCGGGTAATATCGGTAATAAATGGACGGTGCTTAGTTCATGTGATCATGTATTCCTGAAGTAATGTTGTGATATGGTCCATGGGATTTTTTTTAACACTTTTTGGGGAGAATGGCTTCCCTATGTCTCAGGGATGTAGGGAGATGTGCCATTTGTCTTCTCTGGTTTACAAAACACCATGAACCACATCATAACAGATAATGTGTCAACTGGAGATTTTGTGCCAACCACCGTTACTTTTACATTAACAGTCGACATGCTAGTTCCCCTTTAAGCTTGATCAGGTTTGGAAATCCTCCCGCAATGAGGTTATCAGCATTGTTTTCTAATAACGAGTTCAGTATGCCAACTTCGCATGTGCATTTCAGGATTTACCCATTTTTCTTTCGGGATAAAAATGTCATCGTACATGTATGCATGGAAAAGCATAGCGAGGTACCAGCAAAATTGAAGAGATCGTCGTGTTCTGAAGTATAACATTTTGCAAAAAACCTTTGGACAGCTAAGTGTTTTTAGGTGTCTTGTGTGTCAGAAGTTTTGTGCGAACGATAGTTCCATCTCTTTTCGATTGCATGAAAAATAGCACAGAATGAAGATTTGCCACGGGCCCATAGCCTTGTGTGCATTTATCTGCTGCGGTCGTCGCGAAAAAAAAATCGTCGAATCTTGCTGTGCACCAGACTATTTTGGAATACCAAACTGGCTCATTGGGGGAATTTGTTCATAGTCAGAATCCTGCAACAAAGACCCATTTTACGATGGGCCTATTGTTGGATGAGATCTTTTTTATTTGTTTCCAGGGAAATTGTAGCATTGTATACAAGTTCAAAATCTGGTCAAAAGGGTGATGGCTCCTTTGGAGACAAAAGTATCAGAAAAAGAGTTAAGAAAATGGAAGAATCTATCCACTATCTTGGGTGAAAAAGGGGGAGGGCCTCATTCCTTTTTTCAAAAAGCCTAGATGAGGAACCATTTGTTTTTATTTAATAACTTTGCCTTAGTTTAAAGAATGTACTTGCTTTCTCTTTAATACCATATGTTGTCGAGGTTGCAGAAGGTTCCTAGTTGACATCCCAAGAAAGTTATTAAGCAATTTTCCTTTATTTTTCAGTTATTCGGAGGATCAGACGTCGGCATGTTCAGCTCCGGAGGGGGCTTACAGGTCCCCAAACCCCAGTTTCCCGCCCTCAACTCCCCCCAGCGTGCCGGGGCAGCCGGTGTCCTCACTACAGCCTCCAATGGCACCAGGAAGGTTGCCCTGGCGCCCGGCCACTCCCTCATGGATTGGATCCGGCTGGGTCAGAAGGAGGGCCGGAAGCTGAACGGGATCGGCGGTCAGAACTGCGTGGTCAGCCCGGAGGAGTTGGCAAGGCACAACAAAGTGGAGGATGCTTGGATGAGCATCAGAGGTCAGTTAGCTGCAAAGCACACAAATGAGCTTAGAAGACAGAAACTTTCAGTTTAGCAACAACGGCTTACTGGCCAAAAAAAAAAATCAAGTGATGAGTCTAATGTGTGAATGGCTACTAGCATATTTTTGGCCCAGCACAATAAAGATGATACATGTAAAGATTAAGATAAAGACGATCATAGTATACTTATCGGAGCGCCGAGTTTCACAACCAACCGTTCTTTTCAGATCCACACATCTTCTCATGAGAGATTCTTTCACATGGTGTTACTCCATGCAAACTTTCAAATCTTGTTTCTGTGTAAGATGCGATCTCAATGAGCATCAGTTCGATCTTGGGCTCATGAAACTGCTAAGCACATGAAATCGCTTAGCATAAAAAGATTTGCCTTGCAACCACGGGGACCAAATTTTTTGGAACTGCTATGAAAGACAAGATTGGTCAGCCAATTGACGTGCTGTGCATAAATTAGCTGATTTCCAGTCACAAGCAATACAAGTCACATGACATGTTGGATGGTAACCTGTCTTTACTAAGCAAATATTCGTTGGTGTTTAGCGAATTTCTGTACCTACGAAAATGGCTTCTGTTACTGACCAAAGTTCAGTGTGATTTATTCTTCCTGTAACTGGTACCCAATTATATTTATTTCTTCAGTAATCAATCATTGAGCTCGGCTGGTGCTGGCTGACCGAATTCAATTCAGATTGGCCTCTAAACATGACTGTGCCCAGTACCAGGCTAAAACTGCTCAATCTAGTTATAGAGGGGTCATGCAATAGATTTTTTTTCTTGGAATTCTTCGTGTCCCACTTTCCTCAATTTCTTTGTATTTGCCTCCGTTTCTTTGTGTTGCCATTTCTAAAAGTGTTTTCTAAAGCCATTTTGGCATTCATGCTTGAATATTCATAAGTGAAATAGTGATGTCATCACAGGCAGAAGGTTTCTTATAACAGCTGCTTGTTGCAACAAAAAGTCCTTTTTTTCGTGAAGTTTATTTTCCATAGTCCTAGTTTGACTTACTTCATTGATTTCTGTTTCTTAGGTAAGGTGTACAATGTCACCCCTTACATGAGCTTCCATCCTGGAGGTGAAGACGAAATGATGCGGGGAGCTGGCGGAGATGGAACAAGCTTATTTGACGATGTGAGTCTGCCCCATCGTCATTATCAAACATTATAACAAGTTGCTAGTTCAGACCTAGTTGCTTTATGTTATGTGTGTCAGATTTTAGACTCTGGAGATTTCAACATATGTGCAAAACTGAGATTTTCATTTCCTTTTCTCAGACGATATTCAGCTTCAGCAAATCTTATAATGAATTTTTGGAAGTAATTTAAAGGGAATATACATGTACATTGCTGTAATGTTCAGAAATGGATTAATTTGGGGGGTTAGTATTTTATAGCAAATATTGTAACACTGACTTGTGTGACATTTTGAGTTCGTGGATGTTGGAAAAACCAAGAAAAACAATCATGTTCTTGAAGTCTGATTCCCTGACCCCACTTAAGATGAAACGGAGCAATTTATAGACGTCGGGGAATTGTGAGAACAGGGAACCAGTCTATTGGCTGGTACCTGTTCACAGGTGTGCAATCGATTGCAAAGAAAATGCAGACTAACTAAATATGATAAGCTGGGAGCAGATTTTGGAAAAAGCCAGTGTTTTCTCACACTGGTCGGCCGACCAGCATTGGAAATTGATACAAAAATACCACTTTTCTTGAAAATGTCAGCACACCAGGTGCCATGATTTTACAGGATGCTTTAGACTGTCATTCACTAACGGTCCAGTAAGATATTTCGTGATAATTTTGTATTTTTTTTTTTTATGTTTGCAAATGTTGTATATAAGCAAAATGAATAACTTAGGTCAGGAAGTTGATAGAAAATAGAGAACTGAGAACGGTTGGACATATTCAGTGTCTTTACTCTGTTCGTTTAGAAGGAAATTGTGTTATTTTGAACAAAACCCTATAGCAAATATAGTTAAATTTATCGTTATAAGAAGTGAACTTTATTTGTCCTATTGATAATGTGGCTTATTGTGTCATTTGTCTTAATTTTTTCAGGTCCATCAATGGGTAAACTTAGAATCCATGCTGGAGAAATGCTACGTCGGTCAACTGAGGAAAACTATTGACATCAGAAATCCAAGTACCAAAGGTAGCTCAGCTCTTTGTCGCCTTGTTATTTTTTTTCTTTGTCAGGCATGTTATTTTTCAGACTTTTTTTCTGAGATCAGACTTTCTGAATCCGAGAGAAAGACATTATCAGTATAGAAAGAAATGGTTTCAGACCTTTCGTCCAATTTTCAGACTTTTTTTAAATCGCAAATATTAGCCCTTTTTATGCAAATCATCAAAGCAGCCATGTAAACTTTTTTTTTTAGATAATCCACTAAATACAAATGCTAGTGATAATAAGTAATTTTGGTGCTTCCTCGAATTCAAAAAAATTTACTAACAGACATTCCAACGATGCATAGACGCACCATTGGAAAGGACTTCTTTCATTGATTTCTTCAAATGAAAGCTTGCCAGAAAGAAAAATTTCACAGGGAGTTTAGTTCCATTACCATCTTTAAACCAAGTATGTTTTTGAACAAAAGTTACGTCAGTTACTTTTTGGTTGGCCGCAAATGATGGAATGCAGCTTTGAAAACAGATTTCATCTCCAAAACATGTCTATTTTGTAGGTGTTATAAAGAGAGTAGGTGAAATGAAGGCAACCTCAGCGGCCACATTAGCACCCCCGGCCCCAGTCAATACAGGTAGGAAGAACTAGTGAGGGGATGTTCCGAAAGATTTTAGCAGAAATTTATTCTCAGAATATGTTTGTACCTTTATAAAGTCCCTTTAGGATTCTTATTCATTTGTTTTGTTGGTATTTTGCCACTTTTTAAAAATGGCTTGTCATGAATTATGGTACACAGGCACCATACCACATGCATTTCCAGAGCATTTTGGTGAATCAACAAGTGCTCCAGACAACAATTGCAACATGCAACATATTCCAACTCCTGTGATGACAACCATGCTGCCTTTTATATTTTACACGACCGAGTTCTGTTTTCTGATACATCAAATATTGTATAAAACTTCACATATTTTTTCATAGTGAACCTTTTATTCACAATATTATTCATAACTTTTCGAAATCTGTTTGTCTTCGGCTTGATGAGATTTTAGGCTTACTTGAGGACTCGGGCTCAATGTGAGTCATGTGCTGGTTTAAATAAGGAACATCATTTATAATATAAGACCAAAGTTTGTATTATTTTCATTTGATTTGGAATCCAAAATCAATGGATATTAACCCTTTTAATGTCTGAAGAGTCACAGACAGTCAAATCGTCCACTTTCCCTGCCAGGCCTTTTTACACAGGCTAGTCACCAACAGTCGAATCATATTTTTAGCAAGCACTCTGACTAGTCAGATTCAGTCAACATACAAAAGCAGGCAATTGGTAGGCACAGCTGTCTTATTAATCACCTTTAGTCAAAGCATAGCTGTATCAAGTTACATTCGTGTGTAAACAGTCACAGCCAGTCACTCCTTCTTTATGGAGCACTTAACCGTTCAAAACAGTCACTTGATTGATTTTTACTGAAAGGAAAACTTTTGCACAGAATGTATGTTTGCTTAAGGCTTCTAAATGATTCTACATGTCAAGGCAGGAATGAAGCCGAATACAGAGACAAAACAAAGGTGTCTGAGGATCCCTTAATATGTAACATGGACAATGTAAGTTTCAGCAGGGTTCGAAATTAGCGGTAGCCGCTAGCCAAATGCTAGTCAAAACAGCGGCGTGCTAGTCAAACTATGCCTTAAGCCGGCTGGCGAGTCAAAAATTATTGGGCTACGGCAAAGATGAAAGGACAGGAAGAAATAAATTATTAAATTTAGAAAGCAAACCTCATCAAGTTGTGTCTAATTTTATCAACTGTTTTAAAGGGTTAAATTAGATCTGTTTATTTAAAACACTGACAAAATTGCCTCAGAATTGAGCCTGAAAATACGGCATTTTGTATTTGATGTAAAAAAAGGGCTAGTTAAATGCTCTAGGGCTAGTTAAGAGTCTGTTTCAGTAGCCCGGCTGGCTAGTGAACAAAACAGTTAAGGTCGAACCCTGGTTTCAGTTCATTTTCATGGATTTAAATCATGACCCATTGAATCATAGTTGTCATATTTAGAGACGTCCGTTTTTTGTTTCCCTCTTCTGTGAGTTTAGGACTGACTTCAACAACACAGCCTGTAGTTGAGGAACCAGTGCCTGCCGATTATCAGAAGCCAAAGGCCAGGTACAGTGCGCATGCAACAGACACCGCGCGGAAACTAAAATTGGGTGCTTCCCCTTAAAGGGAATATACAACATTTGCAAACATCGAAAAATAAAACTACCAAGTTTTTACAAAATACCTTACTAGGATGTTGGTAAATGACAGTCTCAAGCATCTTGTAAAATTATGGCACCTGGTGTGAAGTCGTTTTCAAGAAAATGGTATTTTTGTAAATATTTCCAATGGTGGTCGGCCGACCAGCGTTTTTTTCAACTACTGCTCCGAATTTACCATTTTTTCAGTCCAAATTTTGTTTACTATTGGTTACATGTTCATGAACGGGTGCAGGCCAGCTAGACTGGTTCCCTTACCTTACAATTTTCCATCATCTATAAATTGATCCATTTTATCTTTTGTGGAGTCAGGGAACCAGACTACTTGAACAATTTTGCTTTTCTTGGTTTTTCCAACCTTTCGAACACAAAACTTCAAAAATGTCAGTGTAACAATGTTTGATCTATTATACTAACCTCTCAAATAGTTCATTTCTGAAAATTACAGCAAAAGCCAATGATGTACATTCCCTTTAAAAGTGAAACTTCTGTCAACTTGATCGAAACTATAAATGACCGTAATTCCATGCTCGCGTGCCGCCGATTGTCCATGGTTTGGCCTTTGCGGTTGACTTTTTGAGGCAATCCGTCTGAAGCTGATCGCTTGACTGGTTATCATTCAATAGCCGTGCAGATTGCAATGTTCAGCGGGGTGCCAGGCTTGACGGGTTTTGTGATGACGTTTGGCTGTAGCTTGACCTGACCCGCATTTTCCGGTTTCAACCGACCCACTTTTTTCCTGTTAGAGGCTTTGGCAATGTTGAAAGATCAAACACATGTAGTTAGAAAGTTTAGGCCAAAAAAAAAAATAGTCGGTCTCTGGTCAGACCGAAGTTCCGGAATTGATGCGGCGACGCATTTTTTATTTTTTTTTTGGTGGCTTTTTTTTTTTCAAGCTTGTATTGTACATATATACAGACAAGGTAGGTACTTTTTTGCTTTTTTGTGTCCTCATTATACATTGGTGTCCTCCATAATTTGCCTTGGTGCCCTTTATCATTTGCATTGGTGCAATTTCCCCATTCCTAGGTGCTCCTTGGTACAAAAATTTGAGGAGGCGCGGCAATAGAGGGCGCTGTTGTAGCTTCCATGTTAATTTGAAAAAAAAAAAGGCTGACACGCATGATTAAAATCGACGCGCGCGCTGACCAGAGACAGAGTATTTTTTTTTTGGCCTTACCGTTGTTTTTAAATGAGGAAAAATGCATAACATCATATGATCAACGAAAATGGAAACTTTTTTTTGTTTCAGATATGATTGGTACCAGAATGGTGAAAAGATAACAGTTACAATTTATGCAAAATGCAAGGTAAGTACAATGTAAATCACTTTAAATTAAAACAGTCTACAACAGAGGCATATGAAAACTGTTGAACTTTAAGTATTGAGCAAATAATCTGCAAACTGACTGAGTTCACTTTCAATCCATATCAAAATGGACTGGAGTGGGCTTTGATCCTGTGACACCTGGGCCCAATTTCATAGAGCTGCTTAAGCACAAAATTTGCTTAAGCACGAAAAAACATTGCTTAGTAAAATTGGGTTACCGGCCAAAACTCCATGCGATGTACATTGCTTGTGACTGGTATTTAGCGGTTGTTTACTTAGCATAATAATCGCATGGAGTTTTGGCCGGTAACCTGATTTTATTAAGCAAGACGTTTTTGTGCTTAAGCAAATTTTGTGCTTAAGCAGCTCTATGAAATTGGGCCCAGGAGTACCGTGAGCTAGCACGGCGCACCCGACTGAGTCCAGCCTTGTGCTTGTGGACTTCCAACGAAGGGCTGGACGGCTCAAATGCACTAGAGTGCTGGTACGGTATATCTGAAGTCCGTGGTTCAACTCCCACTCCAGTCAATCTTTGTGTTCAACCTTACAAACTGCAAAAAAAGTGTGAAGTTAATTCATATTTAATCCTAACTCCGTAGGCATTTTTGCTAGGATGCAACCTCAATCCTGCAAAATCCTCCAACTGCCTCCATGTAGACACTGCATACAGCCTCAATCCTGCAAAATCCTGCGTTATTTCTTGAATGTGGTCCTTGGAGGGGTGACCACTGCCTCAATCCTGCAAAATCCTCTGGCAATCACTGTCAATATGTTGAGGCAGAGCCAGTGACATCCTGGAGCAGTGCGGAGGATTTCAAGTATAATGTAGGCCTAAGTTTAGTGTATTGTAGGCCTAAGACCTTGGCACAGTGCATCCTCAGAACACTTTTGCCATATAGCCTAAATCTTGCAAATTCCTCCATTTTGCAAAAAGGATTTGGGAGGGTTTAAAAAAACTTTTTTTTTTGGTTTGGTGCTAGTCTGTCTCCACGGAGCATCTAATTATTGACAGGAAGAAGCGTGACCTCAGAGCAACCTTGTTTCTAGACGATCATGTCTACACAGTTCATTTCGGTAAGTAGATCAATTACTCTATAATGTTAATAATTTTACTGCTTTTGGGGTTCATTTTCATAGGTTCAGAGGGTCGAAATACAAATATTCTAATTCCCTCTCCAGTAAAGATATTGATATTTGTTTCACTATAATACACCTTTCCATGGTTCAGTTAATTTCCTAATAGTTTTTTTCCAAATGTTGCGTTATTTATCACCTAATTCCTTTTGTTCCGGTGGACTTGTTTCAGATTTGTTTGAGGAAGTCACAGGTGAATGTGGTGAAGGTCAGTAGATACTGTTGAAATTATCTCTCTTGATTTTTGTGATTTTTATATTAATGAACCCTCCTGTTGTCTGAACAGTCACAGACAGTCAACAAAAAATCACTCTTCCCTGTCGGTTTTAAACGGTTGATAAAGACCAGCTGGCTGACACTTTTGAAATTCGGTGCCTTTTAGTTAACGTATTATTGGTTGAACGTTCACAATCCTCACGGAGGCATGCGCTGTACTACCAGTGAGTCAGTATTACATAGTCCTAAATTCACACTTCACCGGCACAGCAGCGTTCTGCCCGCCATTGCCCAATACGTGCGACGCGTGCAGCAATCTCCATTGTTTGGACACTTCCATAATATAGCTATAAGGGGTGTTTCGAAAAACATGAAGTCAAATTGTTGAAAAAAAATTGTTCGAAATTAAAAAAATTTGACTTGTTTTGACTTTTGGACCAAAAAGTTTAGATTGTTTTGACCGAAAAAGTATCTATGAATGGAAATCAATATGTGCTTGGCCGATATTAAACACTCTGTTTAAGACTGGTCGGAGTCTGGATGTTGATAATTAACCTCGATTTCAGATCCAGATTCCAACTGGTCTTATACAGAGTGTTTAAAAATTTGGCTCAGGTAATTATCAGCATCCAGACTCCATCCGGTCTTAAAACAGAGTGTTTAATACTGGCCAAGCACACACTTATTCCTGTATTTAAATCCATTAAAAACGTAAAGTTTGAAATGTTTCTCTCAGTGTAGCTTGTACATGTTTTGTCTTCTCAGGGATCAAGGTGATTGCCGGCCCTGTTCACCGGGTCATCTTTGTTCTCAACAAGAAGAATCCCGACATCAAATGGGTTTCCCTAGGAAAAGCTCTTGAAGGGAACAACACAATGATCCAAAGAATCGACAAAGGTACATCAGTCTGCACATTGCTTTGAAATTCATGCTAATTTCTCCATTTCAAATTCATCAACAGATATTTATTTACTCCTTATATCCTAGAGCCAACGTTTCGGCCTTGCAAGGTCACGACCTGCCAACCCTTGACCCATGACATCAAGCTCTTTGGTCTGGAGTTACCATCAGGTTGTCATATGTGCCTGCCCACGGGGTATCACGTCCACCTCCGAGTTAATGTCGATGGTAAGAGATGATCGGGAAATGATGTAAAAGTGTCCTCAGAAAGTTTGAAAGGGATTTTATGTAAAAAGGAAAGAAGTCCTATTGACCGAGCAGCAATTGCAGATAACACAGCATTGCATATCATAAACGTAGTACAACTTGTTAACAATTTTCAAATGGATATATTGCATTTTTGAAATAATCTGTTTTTGTCTGGTAGGGAATGACATCACCAGGCCCTACACAGCCGTTCCCCCCTCCCTGCTACCCCCAAGCTACCATGGGGCTGAAACGTCGGGCAGAATTATCCACCTCATGATCAAGATGTACCCAGACGGTCAGCTGACCCAGCAACTGTCGCGACTCGACGTCGGCGACACGGTAGACGCCAGTGATTACGAGGGGACGTTCGTGGAGTCGCGGCTTCAGCGGATTGACCGGCTGACCCTGGTGGCGGCCGGGACAGGGTTCACTCCCATGGCCAGGCTGCTGGACTGGTGCTTCGGACAACAGAAGCAGAAACCAAAGTAAGCAAGAGTCTTCATCTTACGAAGGAATTGGGAAACTTTATACTTCCTCTCCCCTGCAAGAGAAAATGAAGTACTATAAGGTTAAATCAATGCCATGTCTGAACATCTAGATGCTTCCCTTAAGCCCGGTTCATACTTCACGCGAAAGCGAAAGCGAAGGGAAATTCGGGACGTCAACAATACGTTCGGAGCGCGTCCACCATTGTTGACGACATGAATTTTGCTTCGAACTTGCTTTCGCGTGAAGTATGAACCGGGCTTCACCCCATCCCCCCTCAAAGAGAATTATTACAAAGTGCTATTATTATGAAGTTTTAGTTTTTCTTGATTTAAATAAGAACAGTGCATACATTTGCTTCTCTTATTCCTTGCACACAGTTGACAGACAAAACGGCTAAACTGCCAATCTGTAAAAGTATAAATTTACCCTTGTTTACCTTTCCTCTGTTCAAACTGTAAAAAATTACCACTCAGAGAGTTGGGTGGCAGTTCAGGTATGTACAATGTTTACTACAGATGACACAAAGCACTTCTCAACTTAAAGGGAATCTACATCATTTGCTTTTGCTGTAATTTTCAGAAATGGATGAAATTGGGGGGTTGGAAATATATAGCAAATATAGTTACACTGACTTTTTTGAGGTTTTGGGTTCGAAAATGCTATAAAAACTAAGAAAAACAATCATTTTCCTGTAGTCTGGTTCCCTGACTCCATTTATGAAGAAACAGAGCAGTTTACATATATTGGGGAATTGTAAGGTCGGGGAACCAGTCTAGCTGGCTTGTACCCGTTCATAGGTGTGTAATCGATTGCAAACAAGTGCGATGGTCAACTGGGGCCAGTATTTGAAAAAAGCCAGTTTTTTCCAACGCTGAGCGTTTTTCTTGAAAATGACAGTATACCAGGTGCCATGATTTTACAGGATGCTTTACACTGTCATTCACTAACAGTCCAGCAAGGTATTTCAAAATGATTTGGTAGTTTTATTTTTTGATGTTTGCAAATGTTGTATTTTCCCTTTAACGCCCTTCTTATGCTTTGTCTTTACACTCCTTTGTGTATAGATTCTTTACTTTAGTATATGTTCAACCTCCCCCCCCCCCTAAAAAAACAAAAAGAACTAATTGTAAATTATGTGTTTTGTCTTGCTTTGCTTTTCTTGGAACAGGCACATCAAGCTGATTTTCTTCAACAAGACAGAGGGCGACATCCCGTGGAGGGACGACCTGACGAGGCTGGCCGAGACCAGACATCACAATCTGGAGGTCGTACACGTCCTGTCGGAACCAGACCAGAGGTGGGCAGGGCCTAGGGGGCGAATCAGACAGGAGTTGGTTGAGGAGTTCTTCTGGAGCCCCGCCCAGCACCCCAACGAGACGTTCCTGACCTGTATATGCGGGCCCACGCCCTTCACACAACTTGCCTACAAGTAAGACTTGTCATTCTTAACTTTAATTTTCTGTCTGGGGTTTTCACAATTACACTCTTCATACCACAATATAAAACAGCTGTCTTAACTGTGGCCTTCAATACTGGCTTTAACCTACTGAAAGGATGGGGAAAAATGAACCGCCGTCAACAAAAAAATTACCCCAAACAAAAAATATTGCACCTGACAATAAAGCACCACAACTTTACGATTAAAAATAACATCCCAGTCGTGTGTTTACTAGCGTAATTTTTTGTTTTCCTTCGAATATGTTCAACCAACAAAAAGCGACTCAAATATTCAGTTGTTGATTGAATATTCAAATATTCGTTATATTCCGGACAGTCCTAGGAGTACCACACACCCGATTGAGGTTGTTTCTAATTCATATGATGGTGTTTTTTTTTTTATCTTAGGTTATCCAAGGCGTATGGGTACGCTAATGAGATGATCCATGTCTTTGCTGCGTAATGACCCTATAAATTTGACACACCAGGATCCAGCTTGTGACACCTGACGGTAATCAATCAACAGAACAGCGCCAAATTTCATGGCTCTGCTAACCACAGAATTCCATGCTTACGGTCACCATGCTGTTCTAACAGCGCTAGCAGAAAATTTCCGTGCTAACCCAGTATTAAGCACAGAATCCTTAGTTATGGGATGTATGCATGCGCAGAAGCCATTATTCCTGGCTAACATGTGACATACGCTTACAGTAAGCACAGAATTTTGGTGGGGGGGGGGGCGGAATCCCCTCAACATTTTCGGCGATAGCCTCTAAAAAAAATTTTTCGCGACCCGAGCTGTTATGACTTTTTAGCCTCGAGCTTTGCGCATCTGTTGATACCAAAAACATAAAAATCGGACCACGGGTTGCCGCGTTGTGAAAAATTTTCTGGTGCTACGCGCCATGAAAACTGAATTTTCCCATATACGTCGTGTATACAGAGCCTAATTGCCATTCGTACATATGAATAATTAATTAGCCATAATTCCAAAACCCTTTGACCTGTAGTCATGAAGTTTCTTGGGTATGTTTAGGAAGAGTTGCTCTATGTACTGTGTACTGTGTACTGTGTTTCAAAATTTTTCGTCACTTGATGGCCGAGAGATGGTCAAAATAACCTGGCCCTTTTAGGGTTAATGCTAAGGAATATTTTCGGCAAAGCATTTTCAAGAAATGTGGTCCGGCAGTCTACAGTACCTCCTAAGGAGCAGGGAGAAGGAGGAGGGGCCACTTTTGAGGCATTTAGTTAATATTAAGATTAACTGATTTTTAAGTATTTTTTACATTTTTGTAAAGAGCATGTAGCCCGCTCATCCAGTTTGACACATGCTAGTAGCATTATTTTGCCATTTCCCAAGCTTTGGATTTCTCTGCAGCATTGGCTTTGCCTCTGGCTTCAAGAACAGTTTAGAATGTACTAGCGTCCGAAGAAAATAGAAACACTGAATCGCCTGAGACGAGGAGTGAAAAAAGTGCAGTTATGCCCAAATGTTGATAAAAGGCCCAACTGAGAATTATAATGTGTAGGGGCTGTTTCGTGTGTTATATAGGCTGTACATTTTATACAATTTCCAAAAATCCATTTTTTTGGCTGCTTTTACCAAAGGAACTTCAAAATTGCTGTTTATTTTTGTATTGTAAGTAAAACGTGAGCTCCATCCGTTTGACGTCAGACTATAGGCCTATTTTAAGTGTAAATAATTATGGTACAGTAAAAAGTGTGTACATTTATAGTACTTTTACAAAATTAGACAAAAGGTAGTTTAATTTTAAAGTATCTAATTATGGAATCGCCTGTTGGTAACAGTCTAATGTATTCAGTTGACAATTTTGTCACACGCACAAGTCGTTAGACGCACAAGTACACGTATGTGAAATGTTTAAAGGTTTATTTAGGTAACACATTGATGAAGTTAAAGTTGATCTATTTGTTACCCAGAATGTGTTATTTAAAAACAGGTTTTGTAGAACTTTACTTAATATATTAAGTAGTAAGTACATTTTTACTCCAAGAACAGACTTTTCATTACATTCATTTACTTTTATTACGTTTTACATGTACTCTGTGTCACTGAGTATTGTCTTTAGCAAAGACCAATCACGCACAAGATAAATTTGAAGCGTGATGATTTAAAAGGATTTCTCATTCTTACTTCAGCTCTTATATTTCTTACAGTCACAAAAAGGTATTATAATAAACAAGGCTTTGCACTTACCTAATTATACGTAGTTAAAGCTGTCCTAACAACGGAAGTATATATTCGCTTGCTGCACGCAGCTTGTCTCAATTTTGTTAAACCGTTTTTGGAATTTATTTTCACTAAAACTTATCCACCGGTTGGATTAATCCAACAGTGATCGCCAGAAACACCTATAAACATATTTCAAGTTAAAAAGGTGTGGATTTCTACCCAAAAGGTTGAGAAAACAACCTGTGTTTTTCTAGCTTTGATGTCCTAATAAGCAACTTGATATCCGAGTGTTGAATAGTTGTTTTCTTACCGGCTATTTCTGTCCACGTGTATTTTACCAATGAAGCTCGATCTAGTTCCTTTAAACTAACAACGACGGTGAATGGGTTGTATTGCACCTTTAATACTCCCGTGTGAGTGTGTAAAGAGCTGCAGCACTAACGTTTACTTTGTTATCTAAACTTGCCCCGCGCCAAAGGTTTTGTTGTTCAAGGCCGGCCATACTATTGTGACTTGGTCGAGGATAAAGGTCAACGACTCACGTGCACCGTGACTAGCAGCCTTGTTTTGTCACGAGATTTAGCATAAGCTAGCGCCAGGAACCAAATAAATATAAGAATTTTGGTATTGAAAATATGACGTAATGTGCATAAAAACTATCGTTTGTGTTGTATATATGTACCGAAACGTTTTTCCTATTTTGGTACCGCGTGTTGACTCTGAAGGTGCTGTACATTTTTATTGTGAAGACCCCAAATTCCGTGTTTCAAAGTCTTTAGCGAAAAACGGCAGATCATGAGTACCGAAAAATCCCCACTTCTTCAGGCGGAGGTAACCTCCCCAGTCACGGTAGCCGTGAACTCCGTAAACGCGGACGTTAACGGGAACGTCCCAAACGCTTCGCTGCCTACATCGGGCGGTACGGAGCGCGCACAGCGCCGACGCCACTGGAAGAACATCTTAACCATCTGCCTGGCGTGGCTCTTTAACTTCACCGCCGTGGCGTCCTTCCAGAACCTCCAGAGCAGTCTCAACCCTCAAGAAGGTCTGGGCGTGCTTTCCATTGCATCCCTCTACGCCGGTAGCATCATCTCAGGCTTCTACGCCCCTTTGGTCGTCAAAGCCTTGGGTCCGAAGCGGACCATCCTCGCTTGCATGAGCTGCTATGGAGTCTACACCGCATGTAACTTCTACCCGCGGTTTTACACCCTGATACCGGCCGGGACTTTAATGGGGCTGGTCTCGAACCCAATGTGGACCGCGGAGGGAACCTACCTCGCTACGTCCGCTGCAAGTTACGCCACCTTGACTGGGTCTACAACTGAAATCATCATCAACCGTTTCAACGGCATCTTCTACTTCTTCTTTCAGAGCGCGCAGATCAGCGGGAACCTTATAGCATCTATGATCTTGTATCCCGATGCCAAAGGGATGCTGCCAGACGCGAACTTGTCTCGGTACTGTGGCGTGCACTCGTGCGGTGCCTTCGTCGACCCGGCAGGGCCTCCACAGAGACCTGGCCAGAACACGTTGTACATCCTCTTCTCCGTCTATCTCGGATGCAACGTCATCGGGGCTCTCTTAATCCTCGCGTTTCTGGACCGACTGGACGCCAGCGCTGCCCTGACTCAGACCGGCTCTGCCTGCGGTAAGATGGCCGCCACATTCCGCCTCGTGGTGAAAGACCGGCGGATGCTTCTGTTCCTTCCGCTGATGATCTACAGCGGGGTCCAGAAGGGATTCATAGCGGATGACTTCACAAAGGTGATTGGATAAATCATTCTTCAATGGGGATTATACATGTATTAGCCTTAGAGAGAAGATATGTAGACGCATCTTGTGAATCTTGTGAAGGACTGTCCATAAAGAAAGAGAGCGAGAGAGAACAGGATAGTTAACAGAACCTCAAGTTAATAACTGTGGTTTTTATAATCCCCTCTCCTGAAAGAGAGTCACTTCACATGGTTCATCTGCGAATCATCCTTAAAACTTAATGTCTGAAGTGCCTTCTCCATGCAAAGGCGCATAGAGTGGCCGCCCGGTAACATCGGAAGAATGGGTACGCGCTTTAGTGGGGGAGGTGGTCAGGTAACGGGAGGAGGTGGGATTAAGACACTTTGTTGTTCTTTCTGTCAATTGTGGATTTTTTTATGCAGGGTAAGTGTATGGGTGTTCTTGTAAGTGTGATCTCGGTGAGACCACGTTTTGGAATGGATCTTATACAAGGGCCTTATACTGCTACTGAATAAAGATAACCACTGTCTATTCCCAACGTTGAGACTCACTTGAGAGTGTCGATGTAAAGGCTCAACAAAATTATTGAGCTTAGCTGTCTTACAGTTGCACGTAACTTTGGTGTCCCGTTTTTCTATTTATTTCCAGGCCTTCGTGACCTGCACTCAAGGTATCCACTACGTGGGTTTCGTCATGATGACGTACGGCGTGACAGACGCCCTCTGTTGCCTGCTGCTGACCCGGCTCCAGAAGCACGTGGGTCGGGTCGTGCTCTTCACTGCAGGGGCTGGTGCCGACTTGCTTGTCGTCTCCCTGATGTGGTTCGTCTGGCCTCCGATGCATGCCAACCTGTGGGCGCTGTTCTTGGCCGCCGGCGTCTGGGGGTTCGGGGACTCGGTGTGGCAGACGCAAATTGCTTGTAAGAAGCTTCTTAGGGCTTCCTCGGACACGGGCATTTTTTTTCTATGATACGGGCTTTTACTCTAAATATTCCTCGGAATTTTCTTCTGGAGTTTACCCCCCTACGTATAAAACTGTAATTTCTTCATATTATCTTCTCTTTACAGCATGGGCCCCATGGGAGACCAGTGGATTCCGCTGAATGGGCTACCCAGTTTAAAGAAGAATTAAATACATTCTGTTTTGAAATCAATGGTCCCGGTCATTCATGATTGTAGGGATACAGTACAAGATGAACCATTACTGACACATCAATTTGTGTTCTTGTTGCAGCTTTGTTGGGTGTGACGTTCACCGAGAACCTGGCCCCGGCCTACGCCAACTTCCGCCTCTGCCAGGCCGTCGGAAACGGGGTCATGTTCGCCGTCACCACCTCGGACTCGGTCTGCGTCTATCACAAGATTATCGGACTATCAGGTCTCTTAGGAGTGTCTCTTGTTTTTTACTACATACTTGAGTGCATGATCAGAAGAACAAAGGACAAGCCTCCAGACGAAACAGTCAAATAAAATGAACATTTTTTTTTAAAGATTGTGGTAATAAGTCATTTGCGAGTGAGCTATACACTTTGGGATTTGCATCTGGTACACAGACTTGCTAAATAATGCTTAGCACATTCTAACTTTGAATTCTGCCGACCAAAGACACTGTTGCTAATCACATGATTCGGGGCAAGCTCTTGCATAGTTACTTACAAAGACGCTCAGCACCGATACATCGTTCACAATGGGCGAGAATGGCACAAAGCCACCAGACCATGCCAGAGCTGATGGTTGCTAGGCTTGCCCCGATTCACGTGATATAGTAACAGTCTCTTTGGTCGGGAGAATGCAATTTTAAAACGTGCAAAGTCAGCGTTCCAGAGTTTATTCAAATTTAACTCGCAAATGGCTCATTCTGGTGCTCTTTTCGAGTTTCACCTTGACAAACAGAATGTGTGTGGTTTTTTTAAATTGTTTTTCTCCTAGAATTATAAAAGTTATTCATTTCTGAATGAGACAACCGACGAAAAAATCCTCCGACGTTTACGTATTGAATTGTTTGTTTACAAAATTCGATTATTTGTGGCTGCAAGACAATTATTATTCGGGTCTCGCAGTGCGGGCTCATTAAATTTTGTTCGCAAAATGAAACCCTCTTTAAGAGGATTGCAGCCGCCAAAATATCGAACTAATATTTTTTCTTCGTTAAAACGAAATTGAAAATTAAAAAGACTGACAATTAAGAGGCCACAATTTGTTTGGTCAAAATGAGGTCATTTTATAGGTTTTAGTGTCACGCTACGGCGACGACAATTATATTGATAGGCAAAAGCCTCATTCATAGGGAAAGATTGTAAAGCTGTGTTGTCAAACTTAATTAATCTTTTTGAGAGACTGTTCACTCTCATCGACTGAAACCAGGGGCCATACTGAAATTTCATAGCCATGACCCTGGTTTCACGCTTTGGAAAAGAGTGCAATTCTTTCAATATGGGCGCATTTATGTCTGCGTAGTAAGTGGGCAACCTCGCTCCTGTGGTGTCGAGCAGTACGCTCCCACCCTACTCTCTAACCCTGATATTGGATCGTTTGCATGTACTGAATCTGTTTTTTTATCGGCTGAAAATTTCGTCTAAAAATAATGACATTTGAAAGTTGCCCAAAATGTTGCAAACATTATATTATACATGCAACTTTTGTCGCTCGGAGCTCCCAGAGTTGCTGGTTCATGTGTTTATGAACGAGAAAACGATTTTTTTCCCCCGCCAAATCTCGGCACATCACAATAGACCCTTTGTATTCAGCGGCCATCTTGGAGGTTTTGTTAATCTAAGTGACCAATCGTCGTTTGCTAGTTGGCCGCGCCCCTTAGACATTCCTGTGGAATGTTAAGTTGTACCCTAAGTTTTGTTTGTCTCAGATGTTGCGCGCTCCGCGTTTACTTGTACATGTATATCATGTTTTATGGACAATTTCACAAGCTTCGTTGACGCGATCTTAAAATGCTACAACTTGCCTGCGCATGCGTATATCCATATGCGTGGATCATTAATGCATTCATTTTCAATATAGCTGATGAGCTATGCTATCAAAATTGTTGATACTAATCGGCACGCGCACATGCACAGTGCGTTGGTTTAGGTCATCAGTATTGACGAGAGTTTGAAACTCCATTTTAGTCCAATTCCAAAGGTAATATTGACATTGAGGGGTTCAGTGTTCCTGTTCCGCGTAGACTTGACTCAAATATAATTTAATATCTTATTTTGTTCATCAAACCCATACAAGTGACGCTCTTTGTCAGTAGGCAAAAAGACTCGTATGCAATCTCGTGACATCTTTGAAACTCTCAGGATCACTACCGCAAGAAGTTCAAAACCATTTTTCTGACCCTTTTATGGACGGGGCCATGACTCTAACAAGTGTGGAGGGCTTTGTGCGCAAAAAAAATATTCAGATAATTTCACTTTTCTTTTTAGCATTTGGACAGCTCGATCACCCAAGTGCTACATCACGAGAAAAAGAAATTCCAGAATTTTGCCTCTTCGGGGTAGAGTCACATTTTGTAAAAGCGGGGAGCAATGTACGCTCCCACCACTACCTGCTCTCTCACCCTGGTATTGCATCGTTTGAATATTTTTTGTTGGGGGGGGGGGGAACTGTGCTTAACATGGGCGTTTGTTTTTGCATGCAGTGTCTGGGGCAAATAAAAAAGAAATCAATTCGTCGCGGCGTGTGTTACGAAAATATGAAAAAAAATTCAAAGTTCAAATGTTCAACCCACTAATATGGAGAACTAGGGAGCATTTGCTCACTCGCCACTATAGTGCAGCTCTGTTTACGTGGGAAGACTGGCTCATGTCCAGGCGCTCTGAGCAAACTTTCGTTAATATGCGGAAAGTGTGTCGGTTAATAAACTTACTCCCTCGCATTGCATCACAAAATATAGAGTTTCCTCTTTCACATGAATATAATTTCTTCATGATTAATTAGGCGAATAATTATGTGTACTTTTCCATTGAAAAACGGGCAACTCAGTGAAAATTTCGCGTTTCCTATGGAGGTCACGGCACATTTCCCCGATTTTTGAGGGTGCGGGTTTACTTCTTCGAACGGCACACGTGTGAACCCGGTCGCATACAGTTACCTCGCACGGTTTCTGAAAGAGAACACAATAATTAAGCTTTCCTTTCATGTTACAACCGTTTTGATTGGTTGAGAAAAGGGTCCTTTTCTTGTCAAATCAGACATCGCTTTTGTTCAGAGGATCGACCTGCTGTTTATGTATAGTCCGGTCTACGCAGTGGGGCTGTGTAGGTCGCCGGGTCAATGCACCGTTGACCGCAGAGCATGCAGGGCTTTGATTTTCTGCACATGGCAAAGTTCTCCATATCCAGCCAATATGCAGTAAAGTACCATATTACATAGGCCTATTAATATAAGCGAAATGGACAAGGGATGATTGTTTGTGAGATGGATTGGACTCATAGCCTACTCCGTTTGAAATCAAAACACACCAATACACGATATAAATCCGTTACTGATATCAATTAAATCAGGATACAATAATAAGTTTCCATCCAGGGGTACAGTGTTGAAAATAAAGTAACCCCTGGGGACGAGGTTGAGTAAGGGTTCCCGTTATAAAACCAAGTTCAAAGGTGACATGGCATACAAATCTCGGCGAGTTGTGTGCTGTACACTGTACAGTACATATACATGTACATGTACATGTACAATGTATGTGTCGTACAGATGAGTGCAGATGTACATGTACATGTACATGTACATGTACGTACGTGTATGTACAGTACACTCGTGGTGTGACTCGGCACATTTTTATCGAGTACTCTCTTATTTCCAGAGTGAACATTGACTGTATTTGAGTGAAAATTCACTGCGTCCAACTGAAATTAGGGACGAGACGATATACCGTGAATTTCCTTCAGTCGAATAGATCGCGTTTTCACTCGAATTTCGACTTACTTCCAATGAATTAAATTGACCTATCGCGGTAGAATCGCGTTATTAAAAGCAGCTTGTGAAATACTATCCAATTGTACGTGATAATACAAAACGTATAACGTACACAATTCCGTAGGGGTGCCTAGCTATAAGGGGCGTGCGCGGCTAACTCGCTAAGCGATAGGTCAATGAGATCATTGATTTGTTTGTACTCAAAATCGTGTCTTGTCTCGGGCTTCAATCTTTGGAAATTAGTCAAGCCAAGATGGCAGCGCTAGATTCCAGCCAAACCGCCGCTAGTCATGTACCTGTGCCCCAAGATGATGTCTGCATAGGCGGGGTTTGGTGGCCGAGCTTTGTGTCTGAGCAGGCGCTGGATGCCGTCAAAAACTTCGACGTCCGCGACGACGACGTGTGGATTGCGACCTGGCCAAAAGCAGGTATGGCTTAGTTTGTCTTTTTGTTGGGGTCTAACCGATGTCCCCAATACCTATGTTCACCTATACCGATGTTCCCCAAAATCATTAGGGTTAGGGTAAGGATCTGGTAAGGATTTCGGGGAACATCGGTACATGTCTTGGGGAGCATAGGTGTGCACCCCTTTTTACTGAGTGGATTTTCAAAAACACGGCCTCATTCAAGGTTGATATATGAGTATGAGACCCGCCGTTTTTGGATGCCTATTGCGCATTCCCGCAAGTGAAATATAAACGTTACATCCCATCCGTGGCATTTGTGCCAACTTTGTTTCATGCAACTGTAGATTAAGCTATTATTATATTCATGCCCAACACATTGATGTAGCCTATGCATGGTCAAACTATATAGTTAGCTGTAGTGAGGTCTATCCAACTGTGGATGAGCATAATAGTTTTCGCGCAGTGGCACAGTTCAGGTGATGTAACAGAAACACTGTAACTTGATTTTGTACAGGATTCGATTTCATATTAGCAGGACATGAGCTAAAAGGTCGAATCTGAGTCGAGGCCGCGTTTTGGTATCTAGAAAGCTATCTTCGCATCCTATGGTTACTGAGAAGTTTCTTCAAGTTCGAGGCTTCCTTTATTGGGATTGTAAGGCTTCCTAGCTTTCGATTCAAGTGGCTTAAAAATACCTCGAGTTTTAAGTATCATCAGCATTAAGTGATGGGTTTTCCTGTTATTTTCAGGAACGCACTGGGTTGCTGAAATATGTCACCTAATTCTGAATAATGGGGACCTGGAAAAGGTTGATCGGGCGCAGCAGCCGATGCCGTTGGAGTTTGACGTGGACAAGGCCGAGAACAGAGTCCCCCGATACAAGACGGCGCCATCTTGGAAATCACCTCGCGTGCTTGTCACTCACGTCCCGAAGAGATTCCTTCCCGATCAAGTACTTCAGGGCAAGGGAAAGGTGAGGTTGTTTCTCAAGTATTTTATATCACCAAAGTATGTAAACAAACAAACAAACGTGCAAAAATGTAATGAGAATTTGGTACATCTTGATTCACTTCATTCCTCCTATAGACCTTTATCATGCTGCCACCATTCCAGTCATGTTCCATGTATGCAATTACAGTACTGAATGACAATTTTTGTGTGTGTAAAAAGGAACCAGACTTTTTCCCTTCATGCCTCGCTTTGGTGACGTTGATTTAAATGGAAAAACAAGATGGCCGCAACATGATACTGGTTGAGAGCTTGTGTCGGAGACGTGGTTAGGCCTATTCCTTTTGTTCAAAGCTAGCTGTCTTTACTTCTTACGTCACAAAATGAAGGCACAAAACACTCGAAAGAAAACCGTGCAAAATCAACCTTTTCGGGTTCATCATAGCCTCATTCATTCTCAAGCCAAGTTCGCTGGTAACACAATCATAACTTCATCTTGCAGGTTATCAACGTCATCCGGAATCCCAAGGACTCCCTGGTATCCTACTATCATTTTACCACAGGGATGTTCCCGCAAAACAAACTGACATTCGAAGAAGGCCTGGCGAGATATGCGTTTACGGAGAAAGGTATTTGACAGCATTTTGCGCCCGTATGTAAAAGTTAATTAATTATTGAAGTATTTGATAATAAGAATAAGCCATTCAAGAATGAGTTTTGGGAGTATGGGCGTGAATCAAAAGTTATTTTTTTCATCAAATTTTGACGATCTTATATTGGAAGTAAAGTAAATGCATTGTTTTGATAAATATTTTCCTGCTAGTTATACCATTGATCGCATATTCATAAATACCTAAGACCGTTTACGCATTCCTATTGGTCGAGAGCCCGTCACGTGGCCGGTCTTAAACGGATGATAAAGACATGGCTAGCTGGTCTTAAACACTTTTCCAGTGTCACATGAAATTTGGACTCCCATGAAATCCGGTGCCTTTTACGTTTCATTGGTTGAATGTTCGAATTCCCCACGTATGCAAGCGCAATATGACCAGCTGCGTTTTGCGCGACATCGCGCGGTATGCGCGACCATGGAGGTGGAATTATTGTGGAGTGTCATTCCATATTATAGTCAGAGGGGTGTTTCGTAAACGTGAAGTAAAATTGTTGAACAAAATGGTTAACAACGTCTAGTTTTTTAATTGTTTTGATTTTTGGACCGAAAGGATTTGTTTTGTTTTTTACCAAAAAGGTATTTATGAATGGGAATAAATATGTGTTCCGTAGGTATTAAACATATTAATTACCCGAGGCGAAGCCAAAGGTAATTATCACCCATCCAGACTCACACCGTTTTAAACAGAGTGTTATAATACCTTCTAAAAACACATTTATTCCCTTATTATATAGTGGAAACTCCAATATTACAGCGCCCCCAATGGCTTGCAGTGAGCACTGATGAAATAATGAGTTTGGTTAGAATTGTGGCAGAATTGTTCTGCTTAAAGTAAAACTACTCTCCTGCTGAAATTCCCCTTTCTCCGTTTTTCCTTTGTATTATATATTTAGTCCAATTTTCGCCCTGGTTTGATCATGTGACCGAGTACTGGGCTGAGCGGCACAACAAGCAGTATCTGATTCTCAAGTACGAAGACATGAAGGCGGTATGTTAAATTGTTCTCCTACTAGGACCGCCCAATAGTGTGGCACTTGTAGTCTGGTTCCCTGTACCCGGGGCGGGGAGGGGCGGGAAACAGTGTAGCATTTGAGAGGTGCACGTGGTGATGCCACGTGCACAGGATCGTGTGGGGGTTTTTTTACTTCCCATTTTCAAGTTTGAGCGATTCACAATGCCGTGCGCCACCCAGAGTTTACCACGGAGAGCTCATTTTTCCCAGAGCATTGTGGAAGATGGTGGCTGGACATATTCGAAATTGTTCATTAATTTTTGTCCGGTCATATAGTAAGCGTATGAATCGAGTATTAATCTTATGTTTGCCCCTTTCTTTTCTTTTTACAAATATGGTGTTTTTTTTTGTAAGGCGGCAGAACGCTATGCCCCAAAATATGACAAATTAGCTCAAGTAGGCCCTAATTGTCTACTGACACTCATTCAAATGGGCCATGTTTTGTCGACCGTAAACCTAAAAAATTGACTTTCCATGGCCAACTCGTGGTGGCGCACCGGCATTGTGAATCGCCGGAATTAAGCCCCCAATTTGTTGGTGTATATATATACTCAGCGTTTTAAACATCAACAGGACACTCGAGGAGCCGTCATTCAGGTCGCCGACTTCCTTGGGCGCCTTCTGTCGGACGAGGTGATCGACAAGATCGTCGACATGGTGACCGTGAAAAGCATGAAGACGAGGTACAACGTCGCCGGAGAAGTGTCGGTACCCGGAACCGGAAAGGAAGGCAAAGTTGGTGCGCCGGCACTGATGAGAAAAGGTTGGTACAATGATGACATCTTGAAAAAGTAGGCCTAAGCCTAGTGTGTCGGGATGTGTCATAAGGCCGTATACCTAATCCTTTCTCCCTATTTTTTCCCAGGTATCATTGGCGATTGGAAGACTACGTTTACTGTAGCTCAGAACGAAGCATTTGACGAGCTTTACCGACAGAAGATGACAGGCTTAGGTCTGAAATTGCAGTTCGAGTAGCCAAAAAGTAAATCCTGGAAGCTGCTTAATTTGCTCTTCTTCAAATATCCCCGAGTTGGAAGCCACCAGTCACAAATGCTTGATCTCCCTACAGTCTGTCCTAAGGACCCCTTATACAAATTATTTGTGGAATCACAAAATAATGAGCTCACGCGCAGGTATTTACAGATTTTGGTGTCAGAAGTGCACCCATAAGACTTGTAATTAATTTTCCACCCAGACTAGATTAGAGTGCCTAGTTTTGCGTTTAAATGTTTCAAACTGTGTCTGATGGTTTAAAGTTTTGTTGTTTTCAAATGTTCTTTAATAATACATTTTCTATCACTTATGTGAGAATTTAATCATTCCATTTCGTTGAAATTGTGGGCTGAGTAAGGTTTTGGCGCTGGCCAGAAGAATGTAACGTTTTTCGGCTGAAAATTTTGTCTGAAATGAATGACATTTACTTAATGAAAGTTGTCCAAAATGTTGCACATAATTGTCGGTCCGAGAGTTGTCATGTTATTAAAATTTAATAAACCAGAAACAGATCAGTCTCTCGCCGAATCTCCGGCAGCACCAAACAAAAACCCTTTGTTTTTTGGAGACATCTTAGAGTTTGTGTTAATTTTGTGCGATTCACAATGAAGTGCACCCATAAGACTTGTAATTAATTTTCCACCCAGACTAGATTAGAGTGCCTAGTTTTGCGTTTAAATGTTTCAAACTGTGTCTGATGGTTTAAAGTTTTGTCGTTTTCAAATGTTCTTCAATAATACATTTTCTATCACTTATATGAGAATTTAATCATTCCATTTCGTTGAAATTGTGGGCTGAGTAAGGTTTTGGCGCTGGCCGAACCAGAATGTAACGTTTTTCGGCTGAAAATTTTGTCTGAAATGAATGACATTTACTTAATGAAAGTTGTCCAAAATGTTGCACATAATTGTCGGTCCGAGAGTTGTCATGTTATTAAAATTTAATAAACCAGAAACAGATCAGTCTCTCGCCGAATCTCCGGCAGCACCAAACAAAAACCCTTTGTTTTTTGGAGACATCTTAGAGTTTGTGTTAATTTTGTGCTATTCACAATGAAGTGCACCCATAAGACTTGTAATTAATTTTCCACCCAGACTAGATTAGAGTGCCTAGTTTTGCGTTTAAATGTTTCAAACTGTGTCTGATGGTTTAAAGTTTTGTTGTTTTCAAATGTTCTTCAATAATACATTTTCTATCACTTATATGAGAATTTAATCATTCCATTTCGTTGAAATTGTGGGCTGAGTAAGGTTTTGGCGCTGGCCGAACCAGAATGTAACGTTTTTCGGCTGAAAATTTTGTCTGAAATGAATGACATTTACTTAATGAAAGTTGTCCAAAATGTTGCACATAATTGTCGGTCCGAGAGTTGTCATGTTATTAAAATTTAATAAACCAGAAACCGATCAGTCTCTCGCCGAATCTCCGGCAGCACCAAAAAAAAAAACCTTTGTTTTTTGGAGACATCTTAGAGTTTGTGTTAATTTTGTGCGATTCACAATGCAGTGCGCATCAAGAGTTAATTGCCATGGTGTATCCATTTATCAAGTTAAATGTGGACAAAACATGGTCCATTTGAAAGAGACAGTAGACAACTAGTTTGGGCTCATTTGTAATAGATTGGGCATAGCGTTTTGCCACCTTACAAAAAAACACCATTATTGGTAAGAGGAGAGGAAAATGGACAGAATTGCATCATCATACGCTTACAAAACTGCTGACCGGAAAAATTAACAATTTCAAATGTCCCGCGCTGCAAATTTGTCGACCATCTTCCGTAATGCACTGGGAAAAATAAGTTCTCCGTGGCAAACTTTTGGTGGCGCACTCCATTGTGAATCGCCCGATGCTACAACTTGCATGCTCATGCGTATCCATGCGTGGAACAAGACCAATGCATTCGTTTTTAAATGGTTGCTAAGAAGAAAAAAAGCTATATATTTCATAGATCCTAGTTAACTAGTGATCGAAATTGTTGGTACCAATCGGCACGGTGTGTTGATCTAGGTTATCAGTATTGTCATGCGTTTGAGACTCCATTTTAGTCCAATATTCCAAAGGTAATATTGACATTGAGGGTTCAGCGTTCCTGTGCCGTGTAGACTTGATTCAAACACGATTTGATATCTGTTTCGTTTATCAAACCCATACAAGTAACGCTCTATGCGTGTAATGAGATGTGAAATAAGTCTACGTATCAACAGGTACGTTTCGGCATATGGCCAACATGATCTTAATAGGTCAGTAAAGGCACGCAATGATTTCAGTTTGAAAAATCGTTTGATCCTGTTGTTGCTAACATGGCACAGAATCCCAGCCAATCTCCAGCCGACAAGAAGCCACCAACCTGGCGTGTCTGCATACAGGGGGTATGGTGGCCGAAAGAGTTGGTGACTGAGCAGTCTCTGAATGCCGTGAAGAATTTCGAAGTCAGAGATGACGACGTATGGGTGGCAACCTATCCGAAAGCGGGTAGGTCAGTGTACGGTTTCCTGGATGGCACATCAAAGATACGATCATTTCTCTTACGATACGACGGCTTCTTTCAGTGTTGATGTCAATTTCAATAAAAAAAATGTATTTCCATTTAAAAAGCAATACACCAAATAATGAGAGGAATTATTGTATGATCTTTAGACGGTGAAGAATTCGAGGGGCCTGCCTCGCGTAATACAAAACTGAGAACATAGCCTAAACGTTTTAAATGCTAGATTTTGTTCTAACATCATTGAACTTTTCTTTCGCCGATCACGACGTGTTTTTGTCAACATAACCTCTTAAATGAGTTAATCAAGCTTGAGGAAAAGGTGGAAACTACACTGCAAAAACGGCAGTGTTAATTTAACACCATTCGCTATCTGTATAGGACAACAACAGTAAAATTTAACACCAGATGGTCATATATAGATACCAAATAATGTGAATTTAATACTGCAGTTTTTGCAGTGTATTGCCCACTATTGAGCAAATTTTCCTCGGATCAGCTGACTTCCTCGTTTTTCATGTCGCACAAAATGTCTTTTCAAATGGAAAAACACCGTATAAATTCTGGTAAATATTAGAACCTCCTGTATACTTCTGTATCTTCCTAATCGCATGTATCACTATTTTAATCAATTCACACTTCATGTATACTGCAACCAACGGGAATGGACGTGAAGCGCTGATACTTTTCTATCATAAACCACCTATTGTATCTGATAGAATTACTTTCCTTTTTTTGAAAGGAAATTGGTAATCGTGATATAGTTAATTGTTTCTACCATTATCCAGGAACTCACTGGGTTGCCGAAATATGCCACCTTGTTCACCATGACGGCAACTTGGAGGAGGTGGACCGGGCCCAGCAGCCAATGCCGATGGAATTTGACACGGACCCGTCTGGGAGAGTTCCCCGCTTCAAGACGGCGCCATCTTGGAAATCGCCTCGTGTTCTTGTTACTCACGTCCCAAAGAGATTCCTTCCCAATCAACTGCTGGAAGGAAAGGGAAAGGTAAGCCATCAGTGGCGTAGCCATGGGGCAGAGTGGCAGACTGCAACGGGCTGGCCTGAGAATTTTTTAAAAGCAAAATCGGGACGGCAAACATGGATCTCGTGAGCAAAGCTACAATAGACCTGCGACCTAATGACGTAATGGCTTTGTTATTAACAAAATTTATGTGGGTTTTGCTTTGGCAGCGAATTCAATGCTCTGAAAAGAAATAATTTCACATAAATTGACAGTAGATTTAAATGTTCAAGCTGTATTCTATAGGAATTTGATTTGAATACACCCCTCCCCATTTTCAACATTCCTTTTGACGCAAAGTTTTGGGGTAGGATTTTATCACCAGAATTGACAATATGTTATCATTTTATCACCGGAATATATGTTATCATTTTATCACCAGAATTAACGGTATGTTATCATTCTATCACCAGAATTAACAGTATTTAATAACTCTTTTTTTATGAATTAGGTGATCGTTGTCATTCGGAATCTGAAGGACACGCTCGTTTCAAATTTCTACTTTACGAAAGGAATGTTTCCAGGTAGACCGGAAACTTTCGAGGACAGTCTGCAAGAAAATCTGTTCTCGGAAAACGGTATTCCATTCATTCAAGTTAAAATTCAACGATTTAAAATGTTGAGCGGTTGACGTGGTTTGGGTTGGGTGCATGGCTTTGATTGTGTTTGGTTGGATTGGGCTTGGTTTGTGTGTGGGCTCGGTTGGGCTAGGTTGGTACGTTCGAGCTGGCTATTTTGGGTTGGGTTAGGTTGGATTAGGTATTGGGTCGGGTATTGTTGGGTTGGATTGGTTTGGTTGGGTTTCATGGTTTTGGTTGAGTGAGGTTTGATTGGAATGTTTGGATGGGTTAGGTTCAGTTGGGTTTGGGCAATTGGGCTGGCTGGGTTGGGTTGGCTTGGGATTAAGATGGGTTACTTAAAGGAAATGGGTTGGGTTGGTTTGGGTTAGGTCTCGATGGGTTGAATTTGGTTTGGTTTGATTGGGTTGCTTTTGGTTGGGTTAGGTTTGATTGGGCTGTTTGGATGGGTTAGGTTGGATTAGGTTTGAGCAATTGGGCTGGCTAGGTTAGGTTGGGTTAAGTTGGGTTAATTACTTTAGGTAATGGGTCAGGGTTGGGTTGGAATGGGTTCGGTTAGGTTGGATTGGGTTGGGTTAGGTTAGGTTGCCATTGGTTGGGTTGGGTCAGGTCTGGTTGGGCTGGAATGGGTTTGATTGGGGTTGGTTTTGGCTGGGTAAGGTTCGATTAGGTTTGGTTTGGTTTGGGTTAAGTTGACTTGGGTTTGGGTTGATGGCGTTCTTTGGTTCGGTTGGGGCAGGTTGGTTCGGCTGGGTTGGGTCGGGTTTGCACACCTCTAGACACTATCAGAACTCGGACGATATAAAGCTGTTTAATAATATGAAATTATCTACAGTGTGTCCTTCATCTTTGAATCTAGTTTCGTTCTCGCCATGGTTTGATCACGTTGCCGAGTACCTGACTGAGCGGCACAACAAGCAGTATCTGTTTCTGAAATATGAAGACATGAAGGCGGTAAGTCATCAAAAGTGGGACTTATATATGAAACACACAATACGTTTATGCTGAAAGAGATACAAGAAAACTCTCTAAATCTCGGTCGATTTTACTATATATCCATGTACTTTTACGTATAGCCATCAAAGAACTGTTCTCCATGAGGGCCTTGGCACCACATAGGGATGTACGTAAATTACTTTGGTTTTGCCGAGATAAAAACACTTGCTTTTTGTGATCAGTGGACAGAACTGTAAAACAACGTCTGTGTTTAAAATTCTGTATCTTAAAAAGCACGTGAGCGAGTTGAATGATTTTTGCACTACAAGAAAGTTTGTTAATTGGGCTTTCATATCCTAGATATTGAAAACGCTACATGCAGAACTTCATTACAAAAATGGTCCTGCTGAGTTTCCTTTTTTTGTAAAAGGAATTTTTTTCCTAAACAACGGAGGTTTAAAGACAAACTCTCTCGCTTGAAGTTAGTATTAAAACTGAATATATTTCTGATTGTGGTCGCATAATGCTTAATTTCTTGTTCACATTCTGGCTAAATAGGACACTCGCGGAGCTGTCATTCAGGTTGCTGACTTCCTAGGGCGCCCTCTGTCGGACGATGTGATCGACAAGATCGTCGGCTTAGTGACCGTGAAGAGCATGAAGACGAGGTATAATGTCTCCGGAGAAGGCTTCAAGGCACCAGGATCCGGAAAGGAAGGCAAAGTCGGTGCGCCCAACCTGATGAGAAAAGGTTGGTACAATTTTCGAACATTTTTAACAAGTTTAGGCCAAAAAAAGGTCTCGGGTTTCTGGTATGGAGCTTGCCCAAAAAGTGGCGACGCGGCTTTTTTTTTTACCTGTTTTTTTGGCTTCAAATGTCGGCTGATGACTGCAAATGGTGACCGACTAAACTTAGTGCAAATAATATGGGAGTCCAGAGAGGCCACATAAAGCTTATTCTCGATCATAACCCCATCTAAAAACACGTTAAAATTGTGCAGCAGCAGGGTTCCAGTCAAACCAGTGAGTTTGGCGGTTTTGAGACATCATCTTTTATTGAAAAAAAAAAATTCTCATTTTGCCGACGCGCATGGCTACGGCGACACGCGCGCATACCAGAAACCAGAAACTTAATGTTTTTGGCCTTATCTAGATTTTTTTTTGGGGGGGGGATGTTTCATTTACTGAAGTTTTTTTTTAATTGATTTTTCAGGGGTTGTTGGCGATTGGAAGACTACGTTTACTGTAGCTCAGAACGAGGCTTTTGACGAGCTGTACCGACGGAAGATGACGGACTTGGGTCTGAAACTGCAGTTCAAGTAAAAGATAAACCTAGAAGCTGCTGTCACATTGCCCACTTCAAAAGTGCCTTTTAAAGCACTCCGTTCAAGAACTCAGAACTGTAATATTTAATAGCCCGCCTCACATGCTACCGCTTTCGATTTACGAGTATGAGTATTTGTGTTGTTTCAATGCAGGTAGATCGTGAAGGTGTCGAACAAGTCGTACTTAAGTTTGAAACATTTTGCACAAATTTACTGCAGCCATGCTGTGTTACGAAAAAATAAGGGTATACCAGCTAAACACAACCTGGTAATCCGCGGATTGACCTGTATTGTCGAAGGTCTATTATGGATTGCGTCGTTTTACCATCGTGATTCGGATTGGAACAATTTGTCGTCATCGTTTGCTTTTAACCCAGCCATATAAATATAATAACAGTGACTCTCTGTGATGCCGTTAATGTTCTCAAACTGTATCTGACGGTTTAAAATGTTGTCGTTCAAGTGTTATTCATAACATATATTTCATATCAATAGGGTGTGATAAAATTCAATGTGACAATAAAATCATCCCCATTTCGTAGAAATTGTGATTGAGAAGTACCCCACTTTAAGTCAAATTATGGCCAAAAATTTAAATTGAACCAGTAGTATTGTAGGGGTATAAATGGCGCCACCAACGTCAAAATAGGCAGTACCCCCACCCCCACACCTCACCCCCACCACCCAAAAAAATAATACATATTTTTCTGCGGCCACAAATTTTGGGCACAGTTTGAACAAAATCCAAACCTCATTTCGTAGGTTCCTCGAGTGAAACCCGTGTACGAACATACACGGGAAAGCTATAAGTAAACCGCATCCAATAAAATGATACAGCGTGTCTGCTCATGCGTATATCCCCGCGTGGAACCACAGTGCACTTTCAATGGCTACATTGTGCCTTGGTTTAGGCTAGCTATCAGCATTGAGTGGACTTTGAAATCAGTGTTTTTTATTCCAATTCTAAAGGTTATAATTATTGACATTGCTGTGTCAACTTGATTCACACGGTGCGTTTCCATCGTCGTCCTTGACCGTGTACAGGTGCCGGTACGTCTTGGCGTACGGTGCGATGTCAGACTTGAATCAAGTCTGTGTAGGCGTATATACGTGTTGACGTGTTGTTAGATCACAAACAGACGTACCCTGACATAAGAGGATTACAAGTGAAACCGTGCGATCCCCTTTTTGCTGAAATGTCACAGAACCCCAGTCAATCCCAAACCGACGAGAAGCCGAAATGGAGGTTAGGTGACGTCTGCATACAGGGGGTATGGTGGCCCAAAGAGTTGGTGACTGAGCAGTCTCTGAATGCCGTGAAGAATTTCGAAGTCAGAGACGACGACGTTTGGGTTGCAACCTGGCCGAAAGCGGGTAGGTCAAAGAAGTATAGGCTACGGTGTCCCGGAGGGGACATCAAAGAATTGCACGAGTTTCTTTTCCGACTCGGACAGCGCAAGTTTCTGTCCATTTCAGTATCTGTTTAAATTAAATGGAGGCAGGATCTAGGGAAGCCAATGCTTATAGAGGCACACCTTACTTATCTTAAACATGTAAATGGACGAGAAAGAACGCATGAGAAATCAAAGGAAGAAAATTAAGGCCAACCAAATTCTTACACAATAATTTTGTACCGTAACGGGGCTTTTGTTGCATTTCTTTTCAGTATTAACTACAGCTAGGGTGAGTCAAAAAAAACAAACAACGAAACCCAAATGTCGGGACCATTGTTTTAGTGAAGTTCTGAATGTAGCACTTTCAAAATCTAGGATATGAAAGCTCAATACATAAGCTTTCTTTTAAGTATATAAAAATCATTCAAATCACTCATGTACTTTTCAAGTTACGGACTAAACGCATCCACCGCTTTAGAGCTCTGTCCACGGATCACAAAAAGGTAAGTACGTGTTCTTTCAGCAAAACGAAAACAAATCACATAGGGATGTGTGTGAATTGTTTTCGTTTCGCGTTTATTGAAAAATGCACTTTTTTACTTCATTTAAATTTGAGAAGATAATGGAAAAATTAAGAAATTTTTGGGAAAAAAATTGCTTTGTCCCCCCCCCCGGAAAAAAGTCTGGCGACGCCCGTGTATGCAGTGCAGTCACTGGACGTGAAGTGCAGATACGTTTTTTCCCATAAACAGCGCACCGACCTGATGCCAGTATAGAACTTCCTTTGACAAAACTTCATTTTAATATATTTGATTGGTGCTTTTTTTTTACCCAATATGCAGGAACTCATTGGGTTGCCGAAATATGCCACCTCATTCACCATGACGGCGACTTGGATGCGGTGGACCGGGCACAGCAGCCGATGCCGATGGAATTTGAAGCTCACCGGAATGAAAACAAGGTACCCCGCTACAAGGCGGCGCCATCTTGGGAATCACCTCGCGTTCTTGTCACTCACGTCCCGAAGAGATTCCTTCCCGATCAACTGCTTCAGGGCAAGGGAAAGGTGAGTTTGGTGTTCAAATCAAATGGATTGTACCATCATCATCAACATCATCATCAGCCCCGTTATCACCATCTTGACATCATTATTATCATAATCTTCTTTCTTTTCTTTTTTTTTCAAATGAAGGTGATCGTCGTCATTCGGAATCTGAAGGACTCGCAAGTTTCATATTTCCACTTTACGAAAGGAATGTTTCCGGGTAGCCAGCTCACGTTCGAAGAAAGTCTACACGCAAATCTTTTCTCGGACAAAGGTATTCCATATCTTTGCACTTTTCAAGTAAAATTCAATGATTAAAAGCTGAGCAGTTGACGTGGTTTTGGGTTGCGTGGGTTTTCATGAGCTTTGGTATGATTGGGCTTGCTGTTGTTGGGCTATATAGGCTGGGTTTGAATGCAAGCGCGGTTTTAGAGCCAATATTTTAGGGGGGGGGCTAGCAGGGGTGGATCCAGTTTGAATGGCCTAGTTAGGCTGGGCGTGTTTAGGTTGGGAGTGATTTAGCGTGGGTTGGGTTGGGTTGGGTTGGGTTGGGTCTCGTTTGGGATGAGGGGGTTTGGTTGGGCAGATTTCGGCTGGGTTGGGTTTGCTCCGGTTGTCTTTGGTTGGGTTGAGTTGGGTTATGGGTCGGTTTGCTTTGGTTGGGTTGGGATAGACTGGGTTTGAATGGCCTGGGTTGGGTAGAGTTCAGTTGGGCTGGGTTGGTTTAGGTTTGGTTGAGTTGGGTCTCGTTGGAATGAGGGGGATTGGTTGGGCTTTATTTCGGCTGGGTTGTGTTTGCTTGGGTTGTTATTGGTTGGGTTGTGTTGAGTTGGGTTGGTTTGGTTGTGTTGTGTTGAGTTGGGTTAGGAGGGGTTGGTTGGGTTGGAGTTGGGCTTGTTTGTTTGGGTTGAGATGGGTCGGGTTGGGTTTGATTGGGCTGAGCTGGCTCAGGTGAGGTCGGGTTGGGTTCGGCTGCATTGGGTCGGGTTTTCGCGCCCTTCCATAACTCAGTACATCTCTTCTGTCACTTCCCCCTCGAATTTATAGTTCAGTTCTCGCCTTGGTTTGATCACGTGGCCGAGTACCTGACTGAGCGGCACAACAAGCAGTATCTGTTTCTGAAATACGAAGACATGAAGGCGGTAAGCAATCAATAAGAAATACATGAACTTTTAGTGAAATAATTTGCGCTGAAAGAAAATAAAACGTAAAAAACAACTGATATTATTTGCACCGAGCCGGTGAAACCCAGCCAACTTTCTCTTGGAATAATGCAAATACTTTGTACTGATAAACAACGGACTGATAAACAACGGACAAGGTTTAAAGACAATTTTGTAAAATAAATATTCCTGATTGTGGTCACAACAAACTGCTCATGTTCTAATATGTTTACATTTTTAACTAAATAGGACACTCGCGGAGCTGTCATTCAGGTTGCTGACTTCCTAGGGCGCCCTCTGTCGGACGAGGTGATCGACAAGATCGTCGACTTGGTGACCGTGAAGAGCATGAAGACGCGCTACCACGTCGCCGGAGAAGAGTCGTCACCGGGAAGGGGAGTGGAAGGCAAAATTGGAGCGACGAGCTTGATGAGAAAAGGTTGGTACAAGTCGAATATCTTGAACAACAGCCTAGATTTCTTTGGATGTGCCATTTACTGATTCTTTAAATTGAATTTTTCAGGGGTTGTTGGCGATTGGAAGAATACGTTTACTGTAGCTCAGAGCGAGGCGTTCGACGAATTCTACCAACAAAAGATGGCGGACTTGGGTCTGAAACTTTAGATCGGGCAAAAACCAGAGAGCGTGTTGCTGATGATTAAAAGTTTGCCTGTCAGGAGCAAGTTCGCTAAGAAATTGAAGATTAATATGGACTATAGTTTACACAAAAGACTTAAGATTTAGATCTCAGAGTTAGATCTTTTGTAGTAACAATGAACGCACAAAGGGTTTACCTTCACCTATCTAAGCCATTGCCTTCTAACTCCGCCTCAACGCATACAGTATGTCGAACACGCACAGTCGACAATGTTTAGAATCTAGTCGACCATTTGGAGTCGAGGTTATCAGTAGTTTTGCGTGTTGCAATCTCCGATCGTAGAACAGTGAGCCAGGTACCACGAAACGTTCTGACGTGCGTGCGCATGCGCTAAGTATATCTCACGAACCAGCAACCATAGGAAATATTCTCAAACTGTATTAATAACTGACAGACTTTGAATCATGAAGAACGGAAAATCCAGCGGAAAATCCAGACAAATGAATGTCCCTTTAAACGAATAATTATCTGTGTTTACAGAATCCAACGAGTATATAACTTCTCTCAGGAAAGCTCTCATGCTGTCAGATTACTTAAGAATCTACTAGATCAAACGGATCTCTAAATCGTCTCTAAATTACTAACAATCAGCTGAAACTAATAGTGTTTTATTTATCGAACTTAAAGACTGAAATAGTTTTATAGAATAGGTCTAATTGCGCATGCGCATATGCACGTCATGAGTTTATAAGTAAGGCATCGGGACAATATGGCTGATATATACTATTGTACAAATCAAGAACATCATGTCGAAATTTAATTTACGTTAAAAAACTAGAATAATGTGCAGTTTGCTCCGCTGTGAAAATCATCCTACGCATACGCAGAATGTAATACCGAACCGATATATAATGTGCTTGTTTCCAAGTAATAATTTTATGGAGGTTGCAAACAGTTACCAAGCAATTTAAGCACTTTTTCCATTACCCTTTCTTTTAACCATACTACCTCCCATGAAATGTTCATTGTTTGAGATGTAATGGCAATTATACTTTTTACCTTAATGGAATATTTTGACCAAATGGTAAATTGAAATAGTATATGAATATGGTCTGATTTCTTTTTTCAAATATTATTTTATAATTTAATTGTAAAATGGAATGGCTTGAAACTTTCAGGGAACATTTGCAGAGGTTTTTCTCCGCCAATATGCATTTCAAGAGAAATAGAGCATCAAAAAAAAATTGTTTTACCAATTGTAAAATTATCTTATATTCCTGAATAAATAGTATTTTCATTTCAATAGTATGAATATCATTTGATGCCTTTGCCTAATAAAATACTTCTAAGTCATTTGGGAAGAGGCTTTTTTGGATGCTCCTGGTGCATGCAAACCCAGTTCTGGGCTGTTTCGAGAACCGCCATTTTCTTGTCCCAATTTCATTGAAAATGTAAGGCTAACCCCTTGCAATTTTTTTCAATTTTGGCCGAAAAATGAATTTGCTTGAAACTTTCAGGGAAGATGCCGGAAGGTCCCTAGAACACATTCGAACTGCAATTTTGGACGGATTGGGAATTTTGCACTTTCAATGGCTGCGGCTGCATTGTGCGTTGGTTTAGGCAATGGTTTGGGCTAGCTATCAGCATTGTGTGGACTTTGAAATCAGTGTATTTTATTCCAATTCTAAAGGTTGTAATTATTGACATGGCTGTGTCAACTTGATTCACACGGGGCGTTTCCATCGTCGTCCTTGACCGTGTAAAGGTGCCGGTACGTCTAAGCGTACGGTGCGATGTCAGACTTGAATCAAGTATGTGTAGGCGTATGTGCGTGTTGACGTGTTGTTGGATCACCAACAGACGTACCCTGACATACGAGGATTACAAGTGAAACCGTGCGATCCCCTTTTTGCTGAAATGTCACAGAACCCCAGTCAATCCCAAACCGACGAGGAGCCTAAATGGAGGTTAGGTGACGTCTGCATACAGGGGGTATGGTGGCCGAAGGGGTTGACGACTGAGCAGTCTCTGAATGCCGTGAAGAATTTCGAAGTCAGAGACGACGACGTTTGGGTTGCAACCTGGCCGAAAGCGGGTAGGTCAAAGAAGTGTAGGCTACGGTGTCCCGGAGGGGACATCAAAGAATTGCACGAGTTTCTTTTCCGACTCGGACAGCGCAAGTTGTCTGTCAATTTCAGTATCTGTTTAAATTAGATGGAGGCAGGATCTAGGGAAGCCAATGCTTATAGAGGCACACCTTACTTATCTTGAACATTTGTTTGATGGGGGGGGGGGGTGTTAAGGGCAAATGCTCCTCTGCTCACGCTTGGAAAACTTGTGATAAATTGAAAATATAATGGAAAAATTAAGAAATTGCTTTGCCCCCCCCCCCCCCGAAAAAATTCTGGCGACGCCCGTGTATGCAGTGCAGTCACTGGACGTGAAGTGCGGACACGTTTTTTCCATAAACAGCGCACCGACCTGAAGCCAGTATAGAACTTCCTTTGACAAAACTTCATTTTAAAAGGAAATTCAGTCACTATATTTGATTGGTGCTTTTACCCAATATGCAGGAACTCACTGGGTTGCCGAAATATGTCACCTTGTTCACCATGACGGCAACTTGGATGCGGTGGATCGGGCACAGCAGCCGATGCCGATTGAATTTGAAGCGTTCCGGAGTGAAAACAAGGTACCCCGCTACAAGGCGGCGCCATCTTGGGAATCACCTCGCGTTCTTGTCACTCACGCCCCGAAGAGATTTCTTCCCGATCAACTGCTTCAGGGCAAGGGAAAGGTGAGTTTGGTGTTCAAATCAAATATACAAACAAACAAACACCCCAACCAACCAAACAAACAAAATGCCGAGAGAAATTGGCATGTTCCCCTTCTCCCACTCCTACTGGTTGAGAGTTTGTAGAATTTTTGGCAAAAAATCGGAAAAGCTGTTTTTCAGTTCGTATAAATGAGAGATTCCTTCACGATCGTGAAAGGAAAGGAAAAGTAAGGCATACACGATGCGATCAGACAGTGCTTAAGATCAGCATGATTTTCTGCTATATAAGCACAACTTTTTTTTGCTAACTGTTCAGCAGCTCCATAAAATTGTGCCATTCTTTAGATTTTGAGCACTTCTGTTGCTTCAAACGAAAAAAAAGGCACAACTGACAAATGATCTGCTCTATACCTAAAAAAAAAACTATCACTGTTGCGTGACCCGGCGCAGGCAAAAGAGACGATGGGAGAACAGTAATTTGGAGGGTACAAGAAACACCAGTGCGGCTCTTTATTCAGACTTTTCTAGCAACAACACAGGGATAGACAGAGGGCGCCCTAGTCATTTCTTGTTTACATTCTGTCTGCTAAACAAAGGCCAAGTTCGGGCAAGGACCATTAGTCGACTAGTGGTTGATTTGTGACGTACCTTACGCCTGCACACTGATAGCAATGTGCGAACGTCTCTAGTCAAACGCTGGTCAAAATGTCATCGCAAAACTTCTGGATCCTGGCTCTCTGCTAGCGTTATGGATGCGCGCGGCTATTGGTTACCAGCGAAGCAACCAACCCCAGTAGGCTGGTTCCAAATAGTCGACTAGCGTAGTCAACCATCGTCGACTAGACAGAGTTCGGGCAAACGTTAGTTAACCATTGGTCAACCATAGTCCTTGCGCGAACTTGGCTTAATATGCAACAATCACTGTATGAGGTGGAACTTAGCCTCACAGGTGTTACATACCCGGGCTCTCAATGTTTCATCGACCAATAGGGTTGGGTTGCGCACCACATGCGTTATACATGCGCGCGAGCGCAGTGCCACCTAAAGCAATGGCTTACTCAATGTTCGTTGGTTGAAAAGCTTGGTTTCACGTGAGGCGCACTAGCTAACACTTTAATGACTTAAAATCGGTGGAAAATAATTTTGATGTCGGTATATATTTCGGTATATTTCTGTAGCCTACACGGCTTTACATTCAATACCTTCCTTGTCATTCTTACTTTAGACGCAAAGTTTGGAGCTTGATTTTACCATCATCATCAACATCATCATCAGCCCCGTTATCCCCATCAGCCCCGTTATCCCCATCTTGACATCATCATCATCATCATTATCTTCTTTCTTTCTTTCTTTCTTTCTTTCTTTTCAAATGAAGGTGATCGTCGTCATTCGGAATCTGAAGGACTCGCAAGTTTCCTATTTCCACTTTACGAAAGGAATGAGACCGGGTAGCCAGCTCACCTTCGAAGAAAGTCTACACACAAATCTGTTCTCGGACAAAGGTATTCCATATCTTTGCACATTTCAAGTAAAATTCAATGATTAAAAGCTGAGCATGCAGTTGACGTGGTCTGGGTTGCGTGGGCTTTCATTAGCTTTGGTATGATTGGGCTTGCTGTTGTTGGGCTATAGGCTGGGTTTGTTTGCAAGCGCGGTTTTAGAGCCTATATTTTAGGAGGGCTAGCAGGGGTGGATCCAGTTTGAATGGCCTAGTTGGGCTGGGTGTGTTTAGGTTGGGAGTGATTTAGCGTGGGTTGGGTTGGGTTGGGTTGGGTCTCGTTGGGATGAGGGGTTTGGTTGGGCTGATTTCGGCTGGGTTGGGTTTGCTCCGGTTGTCTTTGGTTGGGTTGAGTTGGGTTTTGGGTCGGTTTGCTTTGGTTGGGTTGGGTTAGACTGGGTTTGTAATGGCCTGGGTTGGGTAGAGTTCAGTTGGGCTGGGTTGGTTTAGGTTTGGTTGAGTTGGGTCTCGTTGGGATGAGGGGGTTTGCTTGGGCTTTATTTCGGCTGGGTTGTGTTTGCTTGGGTTGTTATTGGTTGGGTTGTGTTGAGTTGGGTTGGTTTGGTTGTGTTGTGTTGGGTTGGGTTAGGAGGGGTTGGTTGGGTTCGGGTTGGGCTTGTTTGTTTGGGCTGAGATGGGTCGGGTTGGGTTTGATTGGGTTGAGCTGGCTCAGGTGAGGTCGGGTTGGGTTCGGCTGCATTGGGTCGGGTTTTCGCGCCCTTCCATAACTCTGGCGATTTAAGCTGTTCAGTACATCTCTTCGTCATTTCCCCCTCGAATTTAGTTCAGTTCTCGCCTTGGTTTGATCACGTGGCCGAGTACCTGACTGAGCGGCACAACAAGCAGTATCTGTTTCTGAAATACGAAGACATGAAGGCGGTAAGCAATCAATAAGAAATACATGAACTTTTGGTGACATAATTTGCGCTGAAAGAAAATAAAACGTAAAAAACAACTGATATTATTTGCACCGATCCGGTGAAACCCAGCCAGCTTTCTCTTGGAATAATGCAAAAGGATTTACTTTGTAATGATAAACAACGGACTGATAAACAACGGACAAGGTTTAAAGACAAATTTGTAAAAATAAATATTCCTGATTGTGGTCACAACAAACTGCTCATGTTCTTATGTTTACATTTTTGACTAAATAGGACACTCGCGGAGCTGTCATTCAGGTTGCTGACTTCCTAGGGCGCCCTTTGTCGGACGAGGTGATCGACAAGATCGTCGACTTGGTGACCGTGAAGAGCATGAAGACGCGCTACCACGTCGCCGGAGAAGTGTCGTCATCACCGGGAAGGACAGTGGAAGGCAAAATTGGAGCGGCGAACTTGTTGAGAAAAGGTTGGTACAAGTCAAATATCTTGAACAACAGCCTAGATTTCTTTGGATGTGCCATTTACTGATTCTTTTAATTGAATGCTTTCAGGGGTTGTTGGCGATTGGAAGAATACGTTTACTGTAGCTCAGAGCGAGGCGTTCGACGAATTCTACCTACAAAAGATGGCCGACTTGGGTCTGAAACTTTAGGTCGAGCAAAAACAAGAGAGCGTGTTGCTGATGATGAAAAGTTTGCCTGTCAAGAGCAAGTTCGCTAAGAAATTGAAGATTAATATGGACTATAGTTTACACCAATGGACTTGAGATTTAGATCTCAGAGTTAGATCTTTTGTAGTAACAATGAACGCACAAAGGGTTACCTTCACCTATCGAAGCCATACAAAATCATTACCCTCTATCTCCGCCTCAACGCAAAAGGTCTGTCGAACGCGCACAGTCGACAATGTTTCTAGTCGACCATTTGGAGTTGAGGTTATCAGTAGTTCGCGTGTTGCAATCTCCGATCGCAGAACAGTGATCCAGATACCACAAACCGTTCTCAAGTGCGTGCGCTAAGTATTTCACGAATCAGCAACCCAATATAGTGTTTTATTTATCGAAATTAAAGACTGAAATAGTTTTATAGAATAGGTCTAATTGCGCATGCACATGTGCGCGTCATGAGTTTATAAGTAAGGCATCGGGACAATATGGCGGATCTATACTATTGTACAAATCAAGAACATAATGTCGAACTTTAATTTACGTTAAAAAACTAGAATATTGTGCAGTTTTCTCCGTTGTAAAAAATCATTCTACGCATACGCAGATGTAATACCGAACCGATATATAATGTGCTTGTTTCCAAGTAATAATTTGATGGAGGTAGCAAACAGTTACCAAGCCATTTAGGCACTTTTTCCATTACCCTTTCTTTTAACCATAATACCTCCCATGAAATGTTCATTGTTTGAGATGTAATGGCAATTATACTTTTTACCATAATGGAATATTTTGACCAAATGGTAAAATGAAATAGTATATGAATATGGTCTGATATCTTTTTTCAAATATTACTTTATAATTTAATTGTAAAATGGAATTGCTTGAAACTTTCAGGGAACAGTTGCAGAGGTTTTTCTCCGCCAATATGCATTTCAAGAGAAATAGAGTATCAAAAATTGATTTAACCAATTGTAAAATTATCTTATATTCGTGAATAAATAGTATTTCCAATTTTTCAATATAATATCTCTATGAATATCATTTGATGCCTTTGCCTCATTAAATACTTCTCAGTCATTTGGGAAGAGGCTTTTTTTGGATGCTCCTGGTGCATGCAAACCCAGTTCTGGGCTGTTTCGAGAACCGCCATTTTTTTGTCCTAATTTCATTGAAAATGTAAGGCTAACCCCTTGCATTTTTTTCAATTTTGGCCGAAAAATGAAATTGCTTGAAACTTGCAGAGAAGATGTCTGAAGGTCCCTAGAACACATTCGAACTGGAATTTGGGACAGATTGGGCATTTAAAAGAAAGATGGCACGATTAATTTGTGTCAAAATTAGTGAAAATTATTCATATTTGTCTCCATAAATCGGTGATTTTTGCCCAAATCTTCAATATTTTTAGCGTCTAAAGGTCGATTGATGTTCCTCTTGCAACCGAAGATGTTCCTCTTGCATCCGAAGACATTTCAATTTTGGCCGAAAAATTAAATTGCTTGAAACTTGCAGGGAAGATGCCTTAAGGTCCTTAGAGCACATTCGAACTGGAATTTGGGGCAGATTGGGCATTGAAAAGAAAGATGGCGCGATTAATTTGTGTCAAAATTAGTGAAAATAATTCATATTTGTCTCCATAAATCGGTGATTTTTGCCCAAATCTTCAATATTTTCAGCGTCTGAAGGTCGATTCATGTTCCTGTTGCATCCAAAGACATTTCTGAGTTGTTTGGAGAAAAGTCAATTTTTAGCCAAATTTGATCAAAAATGTAAGGCTAACCCCTTGCATTGTTTTCAATTTTGGCCGAAAAATGAAATTGCTTGAAACTTGCAGGGAACATGCCTAAAGGTCCCTATAGCACATTCGAACTGGAATTTGGGGCAGATTGGGCATTGAAAAGAAAGATGGCGCGATTAATTTGTGTCAAAATTAGTGAAAATTATTCATATTTGTCTCAATAAATCGGTGATTTTTGCCCAAATCTTGAATATTTTTAGCGTCTGATGGTCGATTGATGTTCTTGTTGCATCCAAAGACATTTCTGAGTTGTTTGGAGAAAAGTCAATTTTTGGCCAAATTTGATCAAAAATGTAAGGCTAACCCCTTGAATTTTTTTTAAATTTTGGCCGAAAAAAGATATTGATTGAAACTGGCAGAGAAGATGCCTGAAGGTCCCTAGAATACATTCGAACTGGAATTTGGGACAGATTGGGCATTTAAAAGAAAGATGGCGCGATTATTTTGCATGAAAATTAGTGAAAATAATTCATATTTGTCTCCATAAATCGGTGGTTTTTGCCCAATTCTTCAATATTTTAAGCGTCTGAAGGTCGATTGATGTTCCTCTTGCATCCAAAGACATTTCTGAGTTGTTTGGAGAAAATTCAATTATTGGCCAAATTTAATCAAAAATGAAAGGCTAACCCCTTGCATTTTTTTTCAATTTTGGCCGAAAAATGAAATTGCTTGAAACTTGCAGGAAAGATGCCTTAAGGTCCTTAGAGCACATTCGAACTGAAATTTGGGGCAGATTGGGCATTTAAAAGAAAGATGGCGCGATTAATTTGTGTCAAAATTAGTGAAAATAATTCATATTTGTCTCCATAAATCGGTGATTTTTGCCTAAATCTTCAATATTTTCAGCGTCTGAAGGTCGATTCATGTTCCTCTTGCATCCAAAGACATTTCTGAGTTGTTTGGAGAAAAGTCAATTTTTGGCCAAATTTGATCAAAAATGTAAGGCTAACCCCTTGATTTTTTTTCAATTTTGGCCGAAAAATGAAATTGCTTGAAACTTGCAGGGAAGATGTCTTAAGGTACTTAGAGCACATTCGAACTGGAATTTGGGGCAGATTGGGCATTTAAAAGAAAGATGGTGTGATTAATTTGTGTCAAAATTAGTGAAAATAATTCATATTTGTCTCCATAAATCGGTGATTTTTGCCTAAATCTTCAATATTTTCAGCGTCTGAAGGTCGATTCATGTTCCTCTTGCATCCAAAGACATTTCTGAGTTGTTTGGAGAAAAGTCCATTTTTGGCCAAATTTGATCAAAAATGTAAGGCTAACCCCTTGATTTTTTTTCAATTTTGGCCGAAAAATGAAATTGCTTGAAACTTGCAGGGAAGATGTCTTAAGGTACTTAGAGCACATTGGAAGTGGAATTTGGGGCAGATTGGGCATTTAAAAGAAAGATGGTGTGATTAATTTGTGTCAAAATTAGTGAAAATTATTCATATTTGTCTCCATAAATCGGTTATTTTTGCCCAAATCTTCAATATTTTCAGCGTCTGAAGGTCGATTCATGTTCCTCTTGTATCCAAAGACATTTCTGAGTTGTTTGGAGAAAAGTCAATTTTTGGCCAAATTTGATCAAAAATGTAAGGCTAACCCCTTGCATTTTTTTTGAATTTTGGCCGAAAAATGAAATTGCTTGAAACTTGCAGGGAAGATGTCTTAAGGTACTGAGAGCACATTCGAACTGGAATTTGGGGCAGATTGGGCATTTAAAAGAAAGATGGCGCGATTAATTTGTGTCAAAATTAGTGAAAATTATTCATATTTGTCTCCATAAATCGGTTATTTTTGCCTAAATCTACAATATTTTCAGCGTCTGAAGGTCGATTGATGTTCCTCTTGCATCCAAAGACATTTCTGAGTTGTTTGGAGAAAAGTAAATTTTTGGCCAAATTTGATCAAAAATGTAAGGCTAACCCCTTGCATTTTTTTGAATTTTGGCCGAAAAATGAAATTGCTTGAAACTTGCAGGAAAGATGCCTTAAGGTACTTAGAGCACATTCGAACTGAAATTTGGGGCAGATTGGGCATTAAAAAGAAAGATGGCGCGATTAATTTGTGTCAAAATTAGTGAAAATAATTCATATTTGTCTCCATAAATCGGTGATTTTTGCCCAAATCTTCAATATTTTCAGCGTCTGAAGGTCGATTCATGTTCCTCTTGCATCCAAAGACATTTCTGAGTTGTTTGGAGAAAAGTCAATTTTTGGCCAAATTTGATCAAAAATGTAAGGCTAACCCCTTGATTTTTTTTCAATTTTGGCCGAAAAATGAAATTGCTTGAAACTTGCAGGGAAGATGTCTTAAGGTACTTAGAGCACATTCGAACTGGAATTTGGGGCAGATTGGGCATTGAAAAGAAAGATGGTGTGATTAATTTGTGTCAAAATTAGTGAAAATAATTCATATTTGTCTCCATAAATCGGTGATTTTTGCCTAAATCTTCAATATTTTCAGCGTCTGAAGGTCGATTCATGTTCCTCTTGCATCCAAAGACATTTCTGAGTTGTTTGGAGAAAAGTCAATTTTTGGCCAAATTTGATCAAAAATGTAAGGCTAACCCCTTGATTTTTTTTCAATTTTGGCCGAAAAATGAAATTGCTTGAAACTTGCAGGAAAGATGCCTTAAGGTCCTTAGAGCACATTCGAACTGGAATTTGGGGCAGATTGGGCATTTAAAAGAAAGATGGCGCGATTAATTTGTGTCAAAATTAGTGAAAATAATTCATATTTGTCTCCATAAATCGGTGATTTTTGCCCAAATCTTCAATATTTTCAGCGTCTGAAGGTCGATTCATGTTCCTCTTGCATCCAAAGACATTTCTGAGTTGTTTGGAGAAAAGTCAATTTTTGGCCAAATTTGATCAAAAATGTAAGGCTAACCCCTTGATTTTTTTTCAATTTTGGCCGAAAAATGAAATTGCTTGAAACTTGCAGGGAAGATGTCTTAAGGTCCTTAGAGTACATTCGAACTGGAATTTGGGGCAGATTGGGCATTTAAAAGAAAGATGTTGTGATTAATTTGTGTCAAAATTAGTGAAAATTATTCATATTTGTCTCCATAAATCGGTAATTTTTGCCCAAATCTTCAATATTTTCAGCGTCTGAAGGTCGATTCATGTTCCTCTTGCATCCAAAGACATTTCTGAGTTGTTTGGAGAAAAGTCAATTTTTGGCCAAATTTGATCAAAAATGTAAGGCTAACCCCTTGATTTTTTTTCAATTTTGGCCGAAAAATGAAATTGCTTGAAACTTGCAGGGAAGATGTCTTAAGGTACTTAGAGCACATTCGAACTGGAATTTGGGGCAGATTGGGCATTTAAAAGAAAGATGGCGCGATTAATTTGTGTCAAAATTAGTGAAAATAATTCATATTTGTCTCCATAAATCGGTGATTTTTGCCCAAATCTTCAATATTTTCAGCGTCTGAAGGTCGATTCATGTTCCTCTTGCATCCAAAGACATTTCTGAGTTGTTTGGAGAAAAGTCAATTTTTGGCCAAATTTGATCAAAAATGTAAGGCTAACCCCTTGATTTTTTTCAATTTTGGCCGAAAAATGAAATTGCTTGAAACTTGCAGGGAAGATGTCTTAAGGTACTTAGAGCACATTCGAACTGGAATTTGGGGCAGATTGGGCATTGAAAAGAAAGATGGTGTGATTAATTTGTGTCAAAATTAGTGAAAATAATTCATATTTGTCTCCATAAATCGGTGATTTTTGCCTAAATCTTCAATATTTTCAGCGTCTGAAGGTCGATTCATGTTCCTCTTGCATCCAAAGACATTTCTGAGTTGTTTGGAGAAAAGTCAATTTTTGGCCAAATTTGATCAAAAATGTAAGGCTAACCCCTTGATTTTTTTTCAATTTTGGCCGAAAAATGAAATTGCTTGAAACTTGCAGGGAAGATGTCTTAAGGTACTTAGAGCACATTGGAAGTGGAATTTGGGGCAGATTGGGCATTTAAAAGAAAGATGGTGTGATTAATTTGTGTCAAAATTAGTGAAAATTATTCATATTTGTCTCTATAAATCGGTTATTTTTGCCCAAATCTTCAATATTTTCAGCGTCTGAAGGTCGATTCATGTTCCTCTTGTATCCAAAGACATTTCTGAGTTGTTTGGAGAAAAGTCAATTTTTGGCCAAATTTGATCAAAAATGTAAGGCTAACCCCTTGCATTTTTTTTCAA